GCCAATGTGGCTGCCACCTGTTGGCGATTCTGCTCAAATTCACCCGGTCACCTTGGCTTTTCTCCCCCCCGATGCGGCAGCAGACGCCTCTGGCCTCCGTGCAGCGGGGCGGATGCTCTCCTTCACCCCGGCTATGACTCAGAGGCCCCGCTCCATTCACTTTGAGCCTCAGATCAAAGTCAGACCGTCCAGGGGGGGGGGGCAGGGAAGAAAGTTTGCGTGGCGATCAGTAACAAGCTGAATCAGAACCAAAGCAGGACCGCATCACAACCACCGACGTCATTTACAGGATCAAAGGAGCCTGCAGCCGAACAGGAGCAACCTTTGAAACCTTTGAAAGAAAATCCGTCGGTGGAATTCAGTTTTAGGGATAAACACGTTGGTTGTGACGTGTTGTTTTTTTTTTTTCTGGCACTAGATTTAATTTTTTGTTTGATATAGCACAGATGTATAAAATAGGTAAGAAGTGATTATTTTCTCTTTAATTCGACAGTATCTGTATCTTTTACCTACTCTAAGTTTATGGAGGTGTAAAAATAGAACTTAGGGGGACAGAGGTTTATCTGAATCACTCATACAGATATAGGCTACAGTCCAACACACACACGCACACACATAATTTTTATTCTGCATCTCCCTGCTGCTGCTGCTGCTCTTCCTTTTCTGTTGCCACAGCAACGCAGCACTCCACTCGGTGTCTCTGCCAGCACATGCTTGCATTAAGGAGCCATTTGCCAACAGCAGTGCGTATATATTCCAGCGTACTGCGCTAAAAGACATGCCACCGAGAAAAATCTTTCATGATCTTTTCCAGTATGAAACTAATAATGTTTCTGAAATGAATAATATTCTCATAACAGAACAAGAGTAAGTTAGAGGTCCACTGATAAGGTCTTTTTTTTCCTACTTCTCAAAGTAACACTTGGAGGCAACTTAGGAGATGAGCAAGTCTCCTCTCAAGCCTAGCCAGGCGGTGGGACCTTACCGGACACACGGGCTGACCCGGGTCAGTCCCGTGTCATCCAGCCATGACCAGATTTCAGACCTACGGGGGGCTCGTACCTCACAGTTGCGTCCGGTGAAGCCCTGGCCGCACGTGCACTGGTACTCCCGGGCGTCCTGGGGCCCGCCGGCGGAGGGGCCGGCCAGGCAGACCCCGCCGTTGAGGCAGGGCCGGCCCTCGCAGGGGTCCGGGCCGGGCGCGGCCCGGGTCGGGGTGGGCTCGGCCGGGGACGGCGTGTCCGGAGCCAGCTGGAAAGGGTGCTGGGGGGGGGGGGGGGGGGGCGTCGTCCTCGCCACTGCAGCCCAGGAAGAAGAGGAGCAGCAGGAGGAAGGGGGACGGCACAGTGGACACACTCATCCACATCCTGATCCTCTCAGCGGGGTGGACTCTCTATTGCTCAGAGCTGTCGGCTGCTGTCGGCTGGTAAACGAGCGGCTGCTGCTGTGTTTGAGAAAAGAGGAGGAGGAGGAGGAGGAAGAGGAGGAGGCTGCTCAGATGTGGAGCCTCAGCTGTGCGCAGGCAGAATGACTGGCTGATGGAGAGAGAGGGAGGGAGAAGGTAAGGATGCTGGAGGAAAAAAGGGGGAGGGCTCTGGGCTCCTGTCTGTCTCCGAGTCACTGTGACGATGAACGCTGACGACATGAGCACACACACACACACACACACATACGCACACACACACACACGCACACAGCACCACTCTCATCTCTACGCTTCTCACACACACTCACCGTGCAAAAATACCTGAGGAGGGGAGCCTCATTACTCATAACCCCTACAAAAAGCTTTGGCCTTCAAAGAAGGGGGACGGGGGGGACGGCACAGTCGGTGCTAGAGGAGAAAATCTTTATTTATTAGCTTTTTTTTGGGGTGATAAAAATGAGTTTTAGAAACATTTGCTGCATATTGTTGGATTTTAGGATTTAGGCCCAAACCATCCGCAATGACAAATGCAAGAGCCGATTTCATTTAAGCACCTTTTAATCTAAATTAAGGAAGGAAAACGTAAAGCTACGATACTTGAATTCCTTCAGTCATCACACTAGTCACAGAGTAGTGTGAAGACTGAATAGTTTGAAGGTCGAGGCATATTTGGGAGAAATGGCCACAGTGGTTCCCAAAATCATTTCCACATTCTTTAAAATGGGGTTCATTCACTTGTTTCTCCTCAAATGGTCGTGTCAAAGCTTTCAGCCCAGATGTGAGTTCCTAAACACTCACACACACAATAAAGCTCTTCATTCAAGCTTTGGTTTTCCATCTTTTTTGTCATCCTCTCTAATCTATGATGAAGCTGCCATCTCCGTGTTTAAGGCGATACTCAATGTCGTTATTATGGTGGAGAAACCATGTAGCCTTATTTAATCCTTTTTTTTTTTCACTTGGAAAGATTTTGAATACTTGTGATATGTGAGAAATTTTCCTAACAGAGGAACTCTTGACCTCGGCATCCATTGGCTGGTTGAGTTACAGTTTAACTACCCTCTTCCATCACCACTTAGCCAATAAGACTCCAGCTACCATCGGTGGCCTCAAACCAAGCCTGTATTACTAAAAGAAAAAGGAGGCTTCTAGACACACATTTATTAAGTATTGAGAAATGTATAGCTATTTTCTACTTCAACACCATCCCACACTCCTGATTTAGTCAAAGGGGAACTACATTCACAGAATATTTTGGAAAGAAATACAGCACCTTCTCCATAATTTCACAGTTTCTGTTTTGGCTTCGTGCAGTAGCTATTTACAAAACAGTGCTTCGTCTGAGGGAAGCAAATTTTTAAGTCTGCATGTGAAAGCAAACAAATGGTTCTAATTGTTGTGACACAGCAGTGCAATACAACTTCATTTGACAGAAGAGGGCTCGGTAGTAATCCGTTTAGGGTTGGAACATGTTTATGACACACATCCAAGCTTTAGGTTTGTTCAAAATACAAAGTTCTTCATCAGACGGTACATTTGTAGCAGGAATAGCAGCATTGCATGTCGGTAGAACCCTTTTAGCTTCGATCCATACTCTGAACCCGGGTGAGGATGGAGGTCTCTCACAGATCCTGCCCGGCCCCCTAAACCCACAATTTCCTACATTTGGTTGAATGTGTCATTTACGCTATAAACTATGTAGGAGCTCAAAAATCATCTGCAGTGTAGTTGAAGATACATGCAGCCCTTTAACAATCACACAGCCGACCGAGTTCCACGACAGCTGGCTCACTAAACACAAGTGATGTGTAAACAGGGACTTAAGAGCCTGCTGTTGGTAAATGTCAGCACACCGCATGAGCTCCATCAGCACTCCAAAAGGTGACCGAGAATGTGTCCAATATTCTTAAAAACAAAGAGGAATCATTTCTCATTGAAAAAAGAAAAAACAAGAAAACCCATCTATTTGCATAAAAGAACTAGCCGATCCCCAATGGCTTGTTAAAAAGTTTAGTACTGCTCATTTGAATAAAGATGAACTGAGGACTAAGCGATTTTCTGCCACCAGTGAGACGGCTGTCCTAAATCAGTACCAAACAAGTGTTATGAAAAACTGCTGAGACATACAGGGCAACATTCCAGGTCATGTGAGCTTGGCAGAGAGGAATGGGAGAAAAAAGACAGTTTAAATGGTAAATAAAAACAAAAAAAAACTAAATCACCCAATACGAGTCAAACAGTTACTTTATTTATGTTCAGGTAAAAACATGAACCTGATGCAGTAAATTATTGCAGATCTTAGAAACCAGCACATGAACGATTGGGCCAGGAAAGCATACAGTGGCGCCCTCCCCTGGCCACAGACTGCAGGTGCACACCACGGTTTGTTCCAAGCCAGCAGTGCAAAGAAAAATAATAATAAATCAACTACAGCAAGAAATAAAGACAATATAGAAAATTAAAAAAAAAGAGAGAAAGAAAGAAAGAAAAAAAGGTAAAGCAGTCATTCCCACCTCAAACTGGGTGTGAAGCTGCATATATACTTTATTCCATAAATGAACTTGAAATGCTATCTGGCCATCAAACGATAAAATGAGACCAGCCAAATTTCGTGCCCAGCTACATTATGTGTTGAGGGTTGCTCAGAGCTTGCTGAGAGCTACCAAGATAACCCTACACATCCAGTAGGGCAAAACAGAAAGACGCTAACTCTATCAAAACAAGAGCAAAACAAATTTACCTGATCACACTGGTTACAACTCTTCATTTGAGCTGAGGCTCTATAAGGGAGGCCAGAACACAATTTCAACTTGGGTAGTGGGGGTAAAGAAGGAAAGAAAGAAAAAAAACTTAGAATATGGGCTCATCGCTACCCGCATTCATCCAACTGCCAATCTCGTTTTCACAACTGGAAGCAAAGACACACAAAAAGGGGAGGAAGCTGAACCAAATAGCAACACACAAACTGGGGCCGATATAATACAGAACAGAATGCCAAGTGACGAACCGAGGGGACATGAAAACAAAGAGCTATTCTATCAAATGTGTAGAATGAGCAAAGTCTGCAAATTTGTCTGTACAAATGATCTTTGGAGCTAAAGTAAACCTAGCTTGCTCAATGACCCCCCCTCCCCTTCCTCCCCAACACGCAGTGGGTCGTCCGCCACTCTGGAGAGAAGACATCCCTTTTTTTTTTCTTTTTAAATATCACATAGCAATGCAATTTAAAATGTCACCCAGATGTTTTCATCTTTTTAACATTACTCAACTACTGATATAAGTTTTACTCTCTCTTTTTTTTATATTTTAAGTATTGAGTTTTCCATTCTTTTTTTTTTTTTAATTGTTTTTTTGAGAGACCGGGGCAGCAAATATATATTTAAAGTCTTACTTTTTCTGCAAGCTGCTTTCTCTAACAAGAAGGCTGTACACATAGCCTTAATGTATGTGATTACAAAAAAAAGGGGGGAAAAAAAGAAAAAAAAAGAAAAAAACTAAGGAAGTCATGATTTCATCAGTTGCTGAAGAAGGCATTTAAATGTGAGATGTGGTGAGATCAGGAAAGGTGGAAAGACTGCTGGCCCTCACGAGCTGCAATCAACAGTTTCTCTCGCATGATCTCTATGCTGGAGTAATCAGGCAGCTTCAGGTAGTTGACACAGGTCATGACTGAGGGGAGGAAGTCATCCGGGTTCTCCGTTGACTCAAACGTCTTCCTCACGATGGTCAGAGGGGGGTTCAGGCTCCGGAAACCTGTCAGAAAACAAAACAAAAACAATGTGAGCGAGGGGAAAACGCACTGCGAGATCATGTCCGGTTTGGCTTGTCTGGGGAAATGGAAGCTTTCAATGATCACCTCCGACAGGCAGTCTTGGGCTTCCTGTGACAAACTGCAGGAAAAGTCTCTGCTGCTCGGCGTCGAAGCTGCTCAACACCTCAAACAGGAACCGGACTGCGCGGCTGCAGAGGAAAAACGTCACATGAGGTCAGCAACACGTGGCATTTTGGTGCCTTCCAGCCGGCCGGGAAACAGCTGGGTGTGTGCTCACACACCTGTCATGCATGTATCCATGGTCGGGCCGACAACATTCCATCAGCATCTTGACGTCCCACGTCTCCGATTTACTGCCACACAGCAACTGGTCAAGCTGCGGAGGGCGAGAAAGAGAAGGAACAGTTGAGTTTTTTCAGACTAAAATGAGACACCAAAGAGCAGCGACCAGTTTAGAGGGATGGCGGGAAAGCCCAGGAAAACATGTCTCACCTCCTCTGGATAGAAATACTGCAGGTGATGCAAAGGGAAGACCGACTCAAAGCCTTCCCTGAATGACTCAAACTGCCGCGAAACTCCTTCATTTAAGGTCCAGTACACGACCAACTAAAAAGACACAAGAAACAAACAGCATTTCAAAATAAGAACAAGTGTAACGGCGATAGAAAAGATGAGCAGCAAAGTCTCGAGGACTCTAGAGCATCACCCTGAGGTACTCCTCCAGGTTGTAGATTGTGACCGGGACGTCTTTGCCACCCTTTTTCAGCTCAATGTTTGGGAATCCTGGGAGTGTAAAGTCCAAGCCCAGGTCCTCCACCGAGCAGCCGTTCATGTTCAGGCTCTCCAGCGCCTGCTGTAAGGTCTCCCTCGTCTAAGGAACACAGAAGACCTCAGGTTAATGACAGAGAAAAACCACAACATGGATGAAGCAACGGCAAAAACTGTTTAAAGGCCAAAGACAGCATCCCGAGAAGGCCCTCAGAGAGTTGTGCTCTCACAAAACATCAACTGCAACAATTCGTGAAAGAAATCTGCTTTGTACCTGCGACCGGTCCTGTTCCAGCCTCTTCTTCTGGCGGATAATATCCTCCAGGTGGTGGATGGACTTAGCCACGCCAGGATCAATGTTCACCAAGTCGTGCGAGCTTATGGACACCTCATGCCGTAGCATCCACTTATAAAATGGAAGCCCCAAGGGGAGATCCAGCTGGAAAGAAGAACAGAAGGGGGAAAAAATGACCACTTGAAGCGGAATGTGGTGTAAAATGTTTAAACAAAGTCAAATTAATATCATTCTAAAAAAAAAGGAGTAAAAAGAGATAAATACCAGTCTGAAGTCCATAATGGCTTTGGCCATTAACTTTCCTAAGAAACGAAACTTCATTTTGATTTTGGCTATATGTGCTGGTTTGGTGGTCCGTCCAAAGGGAACAGCAAACAGTCCTCTGGAGCTGAACATGTACTTGGTGCCCTCTTGGTTTCCTGTTGGGCAAAGACGCAAGATGGCATTAGAACAGGAACAAACGAAATCTGTGAAGATTCTCAGTCATCCAGTCATCCCAGTTTTATTTAAACAGCTACATAACACTACGCTCAATTTTACTCCTTCGTTTGTCTTTTCCTCCCTAAAAGTGCAGCAGCAACAGTTAAAGCGTAGGACGGCACCTTTTGGATTGGCCAGAGTGACCTCCTCGCCACGCCAAAGGCCGAGATCGGCTCTCTGGAGCTCCTGCGACACCAGAGCGTAGAACTCCTGGGTGGGGCCAAGACCTGTGCCCACCTGCAACACAAACATTTTGGTGCTCCTGCAGTCCAATCCAGAACAGCATTTCCGTTTCAAGTCAAACTTTCATTCAAAATTACCTCGTTTTCGTACTGAATCTCCAGCATTGCTCTGGAGCTTCCCAGATCCTGCATGACGGACTCTGCCTGTTTCAGGAGCTCGTCGCGGTTTATCGTCCTCTGGAGGGGGCAGAGGAGGGAATCAATGACTGACCAGCGTTTGGTCGTGTGTTGTAGTAAACCCACGTTTGAATGCTGCTAGAAGCCTTTTAAACTAGACAACGCACCTTTTTTCTGTCAAGACGGGGAGCAACTCTGCTGTCCTGAGAATCTGACTGGTTTATCTCAGGGTTAGTGTCCAGCAAGCGCTGCATGGCTCGGTCACGATCAAAGGCAGTGACGTAGAACAACATCTGCCGGGTGTCAAAGGGGAAGAAGAAGGGGCTGCAGAGGTGGAAAGAAAGAGAAAAACAATTGGCATGGTTTTATATCTATTCATAGACAGAAAAAAGATCTGCCCATCCGATACTTACCAGGTCTTTCCCAGCTCGATGAGCCAGGTTGGTATGTTTCCTGTCATGATGACCAGCGGGTCCTGTAGCTGACGATTGGCTTTGGCAGTCAGTTTACTGTTAATAAACTCGTTTGTAGGAATGATTTCCTTACACGCAGCATTCTGCAAACGGACAGGGGAAACGCTTTGAGGTGACTCGAGGCAACAGGAAGAAAACCCAACATCGCCTGATCCCACAATGAATGAACGAGGCTTACATCATGCAAGTAGAACCAGTATCTACTGACGGACTGCAGGACCCTCAGCAGCAGGATGACCTCTAAGGAGGGGTCATCAAAGGTTATGGTCTCTGGAGGCTCTGAAGTGAGGTATGTCTCTAAGGGGTTGATGATGCTGGGACATACGCCATCTGGAAACAAGCAGCTACTCTTAGGGAACTTCAGAGAGTTCCTGTGATACTGGTGCCACACGGGGGCAGAGTACCACCTTCGCTACTCAGTTGGACATTCATGAAGCTCATAATCATTTTCATGCTAGTCAGTGGAGAATAAAGCTTTTCTCCTTCTCACCATGCCACAGCTCATCCTGCTTCTTGGCGTTGCGAGGTGAGGTTTTGGTGGGAGCAGTCTGTGCACGGCCTCTTTTTCCACCCACAGTGTCTTTGCTACCATCCTCATCTTCTCTCACAGGCTTATACCTGTCAAAGGCACAATACAGAGGTATTTTTAGCTTTACATGAACGCCTTTATCAGCCTCCCCCCTGAGCTACATTGGACCTACTCTACATGCTTATACTTGTAGAAACTAATGGCTAAAACAAAAATGACTAAACAGAAAATCACAGAAAACTTTGAAACAAAAATCTTTTTAACCATATTGTGTGCGTTTTGGTCCAGATTCCGGCCCGTCCGAGTGGATTTGCCTCGTCATCTGTGGACTCCCTTTCTTCTTCTGCCTGCAGACTGTACTGTCGTACAGCCTGGTATACTGTCATGTTGTAAGGTAACAAGTGGTCACCGATGTAGAACTGGAGTCTGTGACGAACACTGCCAGAGTTCAGGAACTGCGCTGCCTGTGGGATCACAGAATCATTTGGGTTATGCTAACTTTATTTAAAGTCACCCACAATTGCTCAGAAAAATAAGAAACAATCTGAAATCAATGCATTTGTGTACCAGTGACTCGTCTATTTCATCGTCTGAACCGTCATCATCGCTGTCCTCGTCTTCTTCTCTGATTCGACCGTATCCTACAGAGAAAAGATGGCTGGTAAAGATGTGTGTGAACATTCAAAGCTACAAATCTACAAATAGAGCTCCTCTCGTTTGAAGCCACCACTGGTAGTCCACATCAAAGTCCCTCACCCCTGACCACGAGGTATCTCTCAATGGCTTGAACGAGGGCCAGCGGGTCAATCTTCACAGGGCCTCCTTTCCACTGTTTGACATTAGTGCAGTCTGGGTGTCTCTGCAGCTGACACTTGAGCTGGTGCGTGTTAAAGAACTTCAGTGCCTGAGATCCCCTGCGGAGAGAAATCAATCGAATTAAAAACGGTGCATCAAACGGTTGGACAGGAGGATTCATGTCCCACAACAGACCTGCTGCCATTGCCGTTTCCACTGGGGAAGTCGTGCACCTTGACAGGAAACTGCTCCATTTGGCTCAGACAGCTGTTCATCTTGTGCACCAGGGCCAGGTAAGGGGCGGTCTCTGTAGGCTCCAGACGACCAACAGGCTCCATTCCGGGAACCTGAGAACCAAAGAGGACACGATAAAATAACGGACTGTCAAAAGGCAAGCGGTACGTAGGTCACGAACCCTCCAATGTGTAAGTACAACCTCCATTTTCTTGGCAGACTACGCAAAACACAAATTTAAGAGAGGAAACAGGTCACTGTGGACAGCAGACACACATCTTTAAAACTAGAATCTAAACACGTTCGCGGGGGCCGCTCAAGCCGTTTACTCTCACCGGACAGCCGGTGAACACATGGAGGAACCGCTTGAGCCGCACGTCGCGACTCAGCAGGTCTCGGTCCGCGCTGGAGGTAAGGTAGAGCAGGAGCTGCTTCACCAGCCCGCTGTGCTGGATCTCAAAAGACGACACGTCCGACTCCGATACAATGCTAGAGATCTCCACTAGGCACTCCAAACCACCATCCAGCTTGGAAATAAATGTTAAAAAGCACAAAAAAAAACATATCAGTCAAAAGTATGAGCTTTGTTTCATATAAGATCAGCAAAATGTCCACAAAATGTGCAAATAAATCACAGCCTCATGGTGAAAGGCTTCTTATTCAGAAGCTATGCTAATCTCTGTTCCTCTCTATAAACCCTCTGAAACAGATATCCAATCTTTAACTTCTGCTGAAGCATCTTCTGCTCTGGACATATGCTTTACCTGCAGGTTGAGCTGCTCAGTGGCTGTGCAAAGTCTCTGGAGTACATTCAGTGCAGGGTTGCTGCCGTCCACGTTTTCAGAGTTGAAGTAGCGTTCCACAAATTTGCTAGCCTGCTCTTTGATCCAGGCCTTTATTTTGTCCCTACAAAAAGGAAAACAAGAACGATTACAAAAAGGAAGAAAAAGAATGAAAGAAAGAAAGAAAAAACGAAAGAAAACATGGTAACCAGCAACAACAGTTATCATCTACCAACAACAAACCTGTTATTTGAAACCGAGTCCTTTGGAGGAGGCCGTGTCAGGCCGCTCACTCCGGCTGTGCGGGAGGGCTCAGAGTTGGCATTGTTGGTCTGGGCACCCAGTTTCCCCCAGGTCTTGGGATTGAGACTGGCTAGGAACGAGGATTTAGGAGACTGAGTACTGGTAGGACTCTTGGCTGCAAAAGAGGAAAAGGAAGACCTCAGTGATTTAACAAGTCAAAGCCACCATCTCTGTTAGTCAACAGGTATACAGCTTAAAATAGCAACAAAGACAACAAAGCCTACCCTGATTGTCTACTTTATCATCATCTCTTGGTGGAGAGTATTTAGGCCTTCTGGGTCCTCTTTTGGGAAGCCGTTTTCTCTTTAGGACATCACTTAACCGCCTTCAATGAGACAAATTATTTAGAGAAAGAGACAGGGAACACAGATATACAGTTAACTAAGTGCCCACAGAAAACAAGTGGCAGAGTATGTTCAACATTCAGATTTTTTTGGTTTCCATCTAAGTTTTGCCAAACTGGTTTGAGCGTCACTAAATGTGCTGTAGAGCTTGCAAAGTCTTTTTAAAAACATATATGTCCGTGGCCAAACCAAAGCCACACTGCCCCTCCAACCTACCCCTGTGGGCTGAGGTCCAGCGAGTCGTCCATGCTGTGCTGGAAGCTGGGAGAGCCCAGGTCAGGGGTTGCATTATTAGTTGATGTGGTGGACGCCGTGCTGATGGTCGTAGTGCAGAGGCTGGCAGTGCCACTGGGACAAGCCTTTGGGGGACTAGTGACTAGAAAGCTCTCAGACTCTGCAAGGTTCTTCACTTGATGCATGACACCTAGGAGGGAAAGGGAGGATTAAAATATAACTCCATTTCAGACACAATCCACCGGGATCCAAATCAGGAACTTATGTGGGTGATGAGAAATTTAAGGGAAGATTTGAACTATTGATTACTGACTGTCTTAGACACAAGAAACAAAGGATCATGTCAGCTGCATAACACTTTGTGTAAATTTTCTATTTCCGTTTTATCTCCCATGTAAATTTGAAGATGCTTAGGTCAACAGATAAAAAAAAAAAATACATATATTGTGTGAGCAGAATAGTTGGTGCAACGGTTTCCATGGAATCCGGCTCTACCTTCTCTTCTGAAATAGACACTGAAGACATCAGGTAGCTTCTGCATGAGGATCTCAGCCATCTGCAGAGAACCCACTACAATCTTCAAGTCCTGGCTGGACAGCATGGAGGCAATGTGACTGCAGACAAAAGAAAAAATATATATATATGTACAGCTAAGATTAAAATGTTAATTAGAAAGAATGCAATTGTTGCCAAGCCTTTACCATCCTCTTTCATTAGCGCCTTCTAAAGCTACTTTAATATGAGTGCAGTGAAAGCAGCCCTGCCACTCTTACCTGGACACAGCATGATTCCTTAGCACATCCTCTAGCAGGTCTGCATCAGCAAAGTATATTATCCTGAGGATGGCTCTAAGGCACTTGTGTCGGACAGCAGGGCCAGCTGATGAGCTGTACACCTCATACAAGACCCCAAACAGTGTTTTAATAAAGCACTTGGCCAGCTCAGGGTCCTCCTTCATCAACTGGGCTCGGGCGTCTTCTTGACGGATTTCTTGGTGACTCCCTGAGAACAGATATCGAAGGTGTTGGCTTTGTTCACTTGAATGCTCAAAATCCGTTTCAGTACAGTACCCTATCAATGTAGAGGTCATGACTATAGTGGGGATTCACAGGTAAAAACTTAGCTTTTTAGTATTAAAAAAAACTGATTTTGCTTCCATACCGGAATTTGATAAATGGGTTATTACTGTAGTATAGGAATATACATATCAATAACTCAATCAGAAACTGCATTACCTGTGTTAGGGTTGGCAAGAGGGTTAGGCTTCCTCTGGATACCCCGCGCTGTTCCTGTGTCTTCATTTATCTGCTGCATAGAGTTGAAGTCGATTGTGTACACACGGCCCAGGGTTGACAAGCTGATCTCATCCTCCCCATTCTGATGGGCTGTCTGCAGGGCCAGATAGTCACAAAACACATTCACCTTCAGAAACGCGCTCAGATAAGCTGCTCATGTTATTTACTCAATGTAGTACTGTTAACAGCCTAACCACCTCTGACTGACACCAATCATTCATGAATATTCCCCACATGAAGTCATTAAAATGATTTCTCTGTCTGTGTGGTGGAGATAAGTAAGACACAGATCATTTTCATAAAATGAACCATTTGATTTGTTCTAATGGATAAAAAAAGACAGCACAACGACAAGAACTGGAAAGATAGCTGTAGATTTACAGGACAGCAGTATCTTAGACCCACTTCTCCTCTTTTGATCCAGTCAAACACATCCATGTTTGGAGGTCTGCACTCAATGCCCGTAACTGTCCCAGCCACTCGCCTTAACACATTTTCTCCAAAAGGCATTTTTGCTAGTTCTTTAGTTGACTTTGAAGCTAAGCCTGTTTCTAAACTAATCAGAGGTAAGCTTTAAAGCAGAGATAAGTCAAAAACTTCTCAAGAGGCCTTATAATACTGTCGAGATACACTTTGACCATCAGCCATGACTCAGAGTGCAAAGTATTTACATTCATTTCGTCCAAGTCCTGTAACTGAAACACATTTTGGGATTGAAATGCATTGAATGTTGGTGACAAACTCCTACCTCGATAATGCGGCTGTCAATGCGGTTGTAGGGATGCCACAGGCCCCGGTCGTCCCTCCACTGCCAGATAGCTCCCTCGGTTGTCTGGGCACTGCCCTTCTTCAGCATTACATCCACAGCAAAGATGCCCTCTCTGGGCAGGCAGGGCATCAACTCACTGCAGGAAAAACAGTGAATGCTTTTAAAAAGAAAATAAATTTGACAGAAACTTATAACCGTTTGCCCACTCTCCCTCCATGCCTCGTCCTGGTCTGTTTCAAGAGGTCTGCGTCCTTTTTTTTTTTTGAGGCTGGACAACTTTTACTAGAATCCCCATTTTATATTTGATGAAATATGATTATGAGTTATTCCACCCTGACATTGAAATGATTGTTTGTAACACACAGACATTACCATATGAGGGAGGTTAGTTCATAAAGCTCCTGAGGGCTCCGGGGTACCAGTTCAATCTGCTCCTGGCAGCTGCCGTTAGAAGCACCACACAAGAGGAAACGCAGGGTCTCTGCAATATCTGTTTAGGAGAAAATATCACAAAAATCCTTACAGTTATTGGTGTTCTGTGGCAATCTGCACTAGATTATATAATATATCCATGCATCTGTTAAGAATTATGCACTCAATACAGTCAACCATGGAGCTTATGAAGAGACTCAATCTAACTCCACCACCGGTGGGTGTTTTGGACACAAAATACGCTATAATAACAACTAAATGAGACAGGGAACTTTAAGAAACTTTAAAAAAAAAAAAAGAAAATTAAATTGCATTTTTTTAAAAAGAGCTACTCACTCTGTTTCATCAGCTGGACTGCCAGGCATGGGCAGTTGGAGCATATCAGAGAAAACATGCGCACCACCATGATGAACATCCCCGAGCTGAGAACGGGAGGGGTCACAACCAGCAGCTGCTGAATGTTGGTCAACAGGTCCCCTGAGGCCACCTCCTGCAGCAAGTTCTGTGGACACATGTGTGCAAGTTAGCTGGGCAGGTGGATGGCAAACAGGGGAGGTAAGATATCCGCGATCAGGCACAAATAACTGAGTAGTGAAAAAAAAAAAAAAAGAGTACAAACTTCCTCATGTTGAAAGTTGTCCACCAGTCTGGCGAAACAGAGACAAGTGCTTTCGACTGACTTTTTATCCTGAGAAGGAAATAAGTGCACATGAAAGTCAGTGTTTCAGAGGTACAGGTAAATATCAGTATACTTTTCTTCCCCACAGGAACGCATCAGCAACAACAGTAACTGTAGCAATAAAGCAAATGTAGTTTTTTTTCCCTATACTTGACATTTACCTGGTGAGTGAGTCTCTGAGTCAACAGTGGCAGAGAATCAGCAACAAAGTGAAACTCGTCTGGAGTAATGCTCTGACAGCAGTTAGCTGCAATGGCCAAAGCATTCCTCTGAGCATTGATGCTAAAGAATTCCAGGTAGAGCAGGCAGTAAGCGAGCCCACGCTGTGAGGGAGGACAAACAAAAATAAAGGATGAAGATCAGAGGAACTGGAAAGGTAAGGTGATGAGTGTGCAAAACCTACCGCCTGCAGAATGGCTTTGCTGTGTCGCCTTGACAGCATCTCCAGGGCAGTCAGTGCCTGCTCTGCTACGTCAATGAACTGGATCACCTGAAGCTGCAGAGGAGAAGGAGGCGCCGCCCATTAGCAGGTCAACTGGTAACCATAGCTAAATAAAAAGCTACACACAATTAAGAGCCTTGTGGTTTACCTTCTCCAGGAAGACAGGAATAGCATCAACAACCACAGCAGAAGACCGAGGGAGCGCCTCCATCATGTAAGTGAGCGCACGGGAGGCGTGATTCATCTGTGTGCATAGAGCAGAACACTCAAATCAAATCAGCTGGATTACTAAAAATATATAGAATAATAATAAAAACAAAAGTAACAGAGAAAACTTTATTGAAAAAAAGATTCAAATAAACTTTACTCACAATTTCGAAGTTATGCTCCATTTGTAACAGTGTAATCTGTGGAAAAAAGTGAGGAAATTCAGTTAACAAATCAAATGTCAGAGACATAAACTGATGTTTTGATGTTAAACAAAACACTATCAGAGGTATTTGCTAAGAAAGTATTTGGTGAGGCAGAAATAAGAAATACCAAAACTAGCCCTCATAGCCGCATGTCTCACATAAACAGTTGATGGCCAAAGTGAATAAGCCTTACCAAAGCAGGTACCACGCTCCTTACAGGAAACCCGCCAAGTGTTTCCTCATTACCCATCACCAGCAGCTGGCACATGTCAATAGCAGCTTGAAGCTGTTGATACTCGTCGCCTGTAGCCTGAAGGCCCTGCAGGAGCTGCTGAGCCTTGGAACCTGAAGACAGAGGAGGGATTTTTATTCAGTGGTACGTCTTGAGCTGAGCGGGAATACAGCGGATGGTGGGTAGACTGGACTCACTGGCTCCACTGCCTATGGTCCTGTGAAACAGTTGTGACATACGAGGTCCCAGGGGCCCAAAAAGATGAGGGGGGAGACCTCTGGCTTCCAGAAGAGCTAAAGAATAAACACATTAGAAGGTTTAGGGTGTGAGTTTGACTTTGCATTAAAATGACAAATCCGAGTCTGTCTGCAAACCTTGAAGCCTTCCCATTTCAGAATCATCAGACTCACTCTCTCCAGAGGTGGTCATGCCCACTGCTCCAGCAACTGAGCTTGAGGCTAAACAGAGAAACATTATGAGATTAAAATGCCAAAGAACCGTAAAAGGGGAAGAAAAATAACAGTGGGGACTTCTTAATCAGCCTCTCCCTGGGCTGCCACCTTATCGTGGTGGAGGGGTTTGAGTGTCCCAGTGATCCTAGGAGCTATGTTGTCCGGGGCTTCAAGCCCCTGGTAGGGTCACCCAAGGCAAACAGGTCCTAGGTGAGGGATCAGACGAAGCGCAGCCCAGAAGACCCTTATGAAGATGAAGAATATTGGACTTCGTGTACCCTCGCCCGGGCGCGGGCTACCGGGGCCCCCCCCTGGAGCCAGGCCCAGGGGCGGGGCACCATGGCGAGCGCCTGGTGGCCGGGCTTTCACCCATGGGGCCCGGCCGGGCCCAGCCCGAAAAGGTTACATGGGTCCCCCTTCGCACGGGCCCACCACCCGTGGGAGGGGCCATAGGGGTCGGGTGCAGTGTGCCCTGGGCGGCGGCCGGAGTCGGGGATCTTGGCGGACTGATCCCCGGCTGCAGAAGCTGGCTCTAGGGACGTGGAACGTCACCTCTCTGGCGGGGAAGGAGCCTGAGTTAGTGTGCGAGGCGGAGAGATTCCGGCTGGACATCGTCGGTCTCGCCTCGACACACAGCTCTGGCTCTGGAACCAGCCTTCTCGAGAGGGGTTGGACGCTCTTCTACTCTGGCGTTGCCCAGGGTGAGAGGCGCCGAGCAGGAGTGGGCATACTCATTGCCCCCCATCTCGGTGCCTGTACGTTGGGGTTTACCCCAGTGAGCGAGAGGGTAGCATCCCTTCGCCTGCGGGTGGGGGGACGGGTCCTGACTGTCGTTTGTGCCTATGCGCCTAGCGGCAGCACAGAGTACCCACCCTTTTTGGAGTCCTTAGAGGGGGTACTGGAGGGTGCCCCCTCTGGGGACTCCCTCGTTTTGCTGGGGGACTTCAACGCTCACGTGGGCAACGACAGTGAGACCTGGAGGGGCGTGGTTGGGAGGAATGGCCCCCCCAGCTTGAACCCGAGCGGTGTTCTGTTTTTGGACTTCTGTGCTCGGCACGGATTGTCCATAACGAACACCATGTTCAAACATAAGAGTGTCCATATGTGCACCTGGCACCAGGACACTCTAGGCCGCAGTTCAATGATCGACTTCATTGTCGTTTCAGCTGATCTGCGGCCGCATGTTTTGGACACTCGGGTCAAGAGGGGGGCGGAGCTTTCCACCGACCACTACCTGGTGGTGAGTTGGCTCCGATGGTGGGGGAGGATGCCGGTGAGACCCGGGAGGCCCAAACGTGTTGTGAGGGTCTGCTGGGAGCGCCTGGCGGAGTCCCCTGTTAGGCGGAGCTTTAACTCCCACCTCCGGGAGAGCTTCGAACACGTTCCGGGGGAGGCGGGGGACATTGAGTCTGAGTGGGCCGTGTTCCGCGCCTCCATCAATGACGCGGCCTCCCGGAGCTGCGGTCGCAGGGCTGTCGGTGCCTGTCGTGGCGGCAACCCTCGAACCCGCTGGTGGACACCGGCGGTGAGGGATGCCGTCAGGCTGAAGAAGGAGTCCTATCGGGCCTTTTTGGCCTGTGGGACTCCGGAGGCAGCCGATGGGTACCGGCAGTCCAAGCGACGTGCGGCGCGGGTGGTCGCCGAGGCAAAAACCCGGGCGTGGGAGGAGTTTGGGGAGGCCATGGAAAAAGACTTCCGTACGGCCTCGAGGCGATTCTGGTCCACCATCCGGCGTCTCAGGGGGGGGAAGCAGTGCCCCACCAACACTGTTTACAGTGGGGATGGGGTGCTGTTGACCTCAACACGTGACGTTGTGGGTCGGTGGGCGGAGTACTTCGAGGACCTCCTCAATCCCACTGGCGCGTCCTCCGTTGGAGGGGCAGAGCCTGGGGATCCGGAGTTTGGACCTCTAATCTCCGGGGCTGAAGTCACCGAGGTAGTCAAAAAGCTCCGCGGTGGCAAGGCCCCGGGGGTGGATGAGATCCGCCCGGAGTTCCTTAAGGCTTTGGATGTTGTGGGGCTGCGTTGGCTAACGAGACTCTGCAACATCGCGTGGACATCAGGGGCAGTCCCGCTGGATTGGCAGACTGGGGTGGTGGTCCCCCTATTTAAAAAGGGGGACCGAAGGGTGTGTTCCAACTATAGGGGGATCACACTCTTAAGCCTCCCTGGGAAGGTCTATTCAGCGGTTCTGGAGAGGAGGGTCCGTCGGATAGTCGAGCCTCGGATCGAGGAGGAACAGGGTGGTTTTCGTCCTGGCCGTGGAACGCTGGACCAGCTCTATACCCTCAGCGGGGTCCTAGAGGGTGCATGGGAGTTCGCTCAACCAGTCCACATGTGTTTTGTGGACTTGGAGAAGGCGTTCGACCGTGTCCCTCGGGGTATCCTGTGGGGGGTGCTCCGGGAGTATGGGGTACCTGGCCCTTTGTTACGGGCTGTTCGGTCCCTGTACGACCGGAGTCAGAGTCTGGTTCGCATTGCCGGTTGTAAGTCGGATCCGTTTCCGGTGGGAGTTGGACTCCGCCAAGGTTGCCCTATGTCTCCGGTCCTGTTCATAACTTTTATGGACAGGATTTCTAGGCGCAGCCGAGGTGTTGAGGGTGTCAGTCTTGGTGGCCTAAGGATCGCATCTCTGCTTTTTGCAGATGATGTGGTCCTGTTGGCTCCATCAAGTCGGGACCTACAGCTCTCACTGGAGCGGTTCGCAGCCGAGTGCGAAGCGGCTGGGATGAGGATCAGTGCCTCCAAGTCCGAGACCATGGTCTCTCACCGGAAAAGGGTAGAGTGCCTTCTCCGGGTCGGAGCGGACGTCCTTCCCCAAGTGGAGGAGTTCAAGTACCTCGGGGTCTTGTTCGCGAACGGGGGTAGGGAGCGTGAGATCGATAGGCGGATCGGTGCGGCGTCTGCAGTAATGCGGGCGCTGTACCGGTCTGTCGTGATGAAGAGAGAGCTGAGCCTAAAGGCGAAGCTCTCAATTTATCGGTCGATCTACGTTCCCACCCTCGTCTATGGTCACGAGCTTTGGGTAGTGACCGAAAGAACGAGATCGCGGATACAAGCGGCCGAAATGAGTTTCCTCCGCAGGGTGGCTGGGCTCTCCCTTAGAGATAGGGTGAGAAGCTCGGCCATCCGGGAGGGGCTCGGAGTAGAGCCGCTGCTCCTCCACGTGGAGAGGAGCCAGTTGAGGTGGCTCGGGCATCTGATCAGGATGCCTCCTGGTCGCCTCCCTGGGGAGGTGTTCCGGGCTCGTCCCACCGGGAGAAGGCCCAGAGGAAGACCCAGGACCCGCTGGAGGGACTATGTGTCCCGGCTGGCCTGGGAACGCCTCGGGATCCCCCCGGAGGAGCTGGCCGAAGTGGCCGGGGAGAGGGAAGTCTGGGTTTCCCTGCTCCGGCTGCTGCCCCCGCGACCCGACCCCGGATAAGCGGAGGACAGTGGATGGAGTGGATGGATGGACTTCTTAATCAAGTAACTGTGTGTTTGCACATGCTCTGGATTGTGATAGCTCAGTCTGTGCAAGGTACCTGAAGCTCCTTGTGAAGCCTCATCAGTCCGAGCAGCTGATGAGGTGGCCCCGTCTTGGTTGTTGTCCGAGTCGGCCATTTTCTCCTGTCGGCGAGCGTCGGCTGCCCCGCGCTTGCCCAGGCCTGAGCCCCGCCGACTGTCACGGGGAAAAGGAAATGAAAACCTCCATGTTAGATCTGAATCAAAAACATGTGGCTTTCAATGCTGAACTCTGAATACTATCCCAATGCTTCCTTCATGCTCACCGCTCTCACTGTTATGTCACAAGAGCCGCACACTGTACTTCCATCGATGTTATCAGAGTGAAGGCAGTACACAGTTAACATTCAGCTAAGCTACAATATTAGCTTGTTGTACAGCGAGGGACACTGGGAGCTGATTCTCAAAAAGAACAGGCCTCTTTTCAGTCAGGAGTATGACATGCATTGTTTAAAAAAAACAGCTAGTCACTTTGCTGAACAGCCAATCAGACGGTACTGTTACGATCCAGCACTGCTGATTTAGGTTCCATCAGCCAATGAAAAATACAGGCTAAGTTCTACAATGGAGACAGGTGTCACACTCCAAAAGACAAGAGACAGGCTCATCAACAAAAGATTTTCCCAGTAACAGATTTTCCCAGTGGCCTATTGTCAGATTTACACTGATGTCCTCTGTAGCCTCCCATCAGAAATCATTTCTAAAGTCCATTATACAAATATCTGGGAATAAATTTTTAAAACAGTTTTCTGTGTTAATTGAGTTTCACATTACATAACAAAAGGCACTCCTAGTGTGAGCGAGCAGCGAGGATTCTTTATTTTTTCAGATTTGCAGACTTGGACTGAAGATTTTCACCTCTCAGTGTTTAAAAAAAAAAAAAAAAGAGAGAAACACTTAAGCAACTCACACTGATGTCTATACCAAATAAAAGTGTCAGTTGATCTATAATCTGACTACACTGAGTCTTTGCTGGCCTGTTTTACCTGGTGCTGGCACAGGAGCCCGTGGTCTTCTGGCGTGTGCTCCGCCGAGAACTGGGGAGCTCTGCTGGAGGAGACTCGCTTCGCTTCTTGGTAGACTTCCTCAAACCTGATTTGAATAAACCCAGACCATACTCATAAGAAGTGTGTTCAGAGATATTTTTCAACTGCCTTTGATCAAGAAAATAGGTCCCAGTCAGGAGCCACTAAATATCTCAAGTGAAAACAACACAGAAGCAGAAAAACAAAGAGGGCTTTGGTGGTGGGCATCTTTCTGCAAACAACCATTCTGTGGGAACCTTCTTTTTTCCACTGAAAGTCTGAGAAAACTTTCAGTGAGTGGCGTTATTAGAGTGAAGACTGATGCTGAGCATTGCTTAGTATTACCTTTCAATTCAGCAAAAGACTGGTGCTGTCCGTTTAGAGCCACAGACTACCAGCCAAATGGATATTAATAGTAACACGACCATGGCCCTCTGACAGGACAACCTTCATGCTAGCTCTGTGACTCATAATTTAGAAGTACAAAAATACACTCAAAATAATGAAGACCAAATTAATTTTACACAAAAGAAAGATCATATTCGGCCTTCTTTCGACCTTGTTATGATGTCCCATGTGCTGCAGATGTATGTGATCTCAAACATTTCAAATATCTCCAAATGTTTCCCAAAATAAGTTTTTTTAAATAATTTTGTGATCCACTGCTTAGCCTGCAGTTAGCAATGGACAGTGAATGACAAAAGGCTCTTTAACAATGAAAAGCAAAACAGTATGAAATGGAACCGCCTTATAGAAGCCTACTTACCATTACAGGTGACACAATCTAAATCTGTGAAAAAGGAAAAGGCTCGGGGATGAAACTTCACAAAGAATGATGAAGTTCTTTCACTCTGAGAAAAGCAGCCTGTGATCCTTCCCTACCCTCACACATAGCCCTCGTCGGTCAGCTGGTGGCCCAACACGTGAAAAGCAACTAAGAGGAGGAGTGGAGTGGGAGGGGGTCTCTCTATTTGGGCCGGAGCCCATGACACAGAGCAGACTAAAGTTACAATGCTTTCACCCACCTAGAAAAGCCAGACCCCACACCAGTCACAGCAGCATCTGCTCCCCTCACCATAAACACCCACAATAAGGTTTTATGCGTTTGTTTGCCCTTTTAACCGACATTTCCTTGTTCTCTTTTTACTCTGAGCAAACACTCACTGGAGCTTTTGATATTCTAACAGTAAAGGACCGATGGGGAGCTCCTCTGCTCAGGTGTTACCTTATCAAAAGTGATGTTCACATTGATTCAAATGTGATTTAATACTCAACAACTTCTAACATTTGACTTATTTAAAGCCATTTTTCAGTTGCACAAAGAGATTTTGGTAGGGTTAAAAAGTATTTTAAAAACAGCCCAGGATGCCACAAGCCTTAACTGACAAGTATCAATAGTTCATTTGTCAGGAGGGTTATGTTACAGGGTCTGGAGTCACAACCTCATTTGCCTCTGATTTTAGCTTGAAAGATGCAATACTTTGGAATTAAGAATCTTTAGATGGGAGAAATGCTTTACAATGCAGCTCCAGATATACTGAATAACACTGCTTGCCCAAATTCACGCTGAATTCTAACAATGAATGAAATGGCAAAGCAATAACCAAGACAGCCTGATGAGATCAAGATGCCGCCTCAAAATTTAATGGGATGGAGGGGGAAAAGACGCCTAAGAACAGACTCCTATCATTGTGTAATCCACTTTGCAAGTATTCCTGATATTAATATTTGGATTGCTGATCAAGTCACAAGTCAGTATCAATACCAATATAAGCACTACCTACTCCTAATCCTACCATCACCCTGCGGATGGCATTTCTGAATCTGAGCCAATTCATCAGTTCAGTAAGGCCCCCATTCCCAACACCTGAACAAGATATTAGTCCAAACACATGATTTGTAGTTTGCAGTGTGGTGAACCTTTACCACATGGACTTATAGATTACTCAAAAACAAATGTAAGTTGCAATAATACAAATATATTCCTTTGTGAACTTTCATCTGTATTCTTCCTTTGTCTGATATTAGTAAGGATCCTTTTGCTTTTTAAACTAAAAGATGGATCAGACATTTTTCTTCTCAGAACAGAAACAACCCTCATACAGGTGATGGAACTCACTTGCTAGTTTAGCTTGTAGTCCTGATGGCCCAGGTTTGGAGGTCTCAGTTTTGGAGGATCCGGGCAAGGGCAATTTGGGTTTTGGCAGGTTTACTTTGGGGTTGAAGCGTGCTGCCCAATCAAATTTTGAAGAGCTGGCAGCTTTGGCCTGCTCCTTGTCCCGTGTACTGCGGCGTGGAGAAGGGCTGGACGCTGAGCGGGAGCGGCGTGCCTTGGTCTGATCTTTTCCCTGTTTGACTCGAGCACCCTGAGTCGCTGCGCTGTTGGTGCCTGTGGAGGAAGAAGAGGAGGAGGAGGCAGAGGAGGAGGAGTCTGTCACGTTGCTACACCCAGCTTTGGCTGAGGCGGCCGATTTAGACGCCAGCTTGGTGGGTTTTGCAGTTCTGCCCTCGGTACAATTGGGGAGGGACCCAGCGGTGCTACTTAGGCTGGGGGCAGAGTCTGATTTTTTCCGTTTCTGGACTGGGGAGGCCCCAGCGGCCACACTCTTCTTGTTCTGACCTCGACCTGATGCTGCAGGTGGCTCAGAGGCTACGGGTCTCTTCTTGGACTTAGATGTGCCTTTCTTGGTCTCTGAGGTATTGTCTCTGGTTGAAGGGAGTGACTTGGCCTTCTTGGCAGGGGTTGGTCCAAGGACACTAATTTGGTCAGGAGCTTCGCTTCGTTTGAGTCCTCGGGTGCCCTCGCTCTTTGACTGGTGGCCTGAACGCTCTTGTTCGGATGTTCCTGCAGCCTCTGGATCGTCTTGAAACACAAACGAAGCCACTGACAGAGTAAGACCGCTTCTGCTGGGGAGCAAAAGGAAAAATCAACTATCGTCTTAGAAAGCCCCCATAAAATGAAAAATCTATTAATTAAAAAGACTAGTACAACATGATCAAAGCCGTACAACATCCATTACACTGACGGAAACCTATAGACACACACACACATATATTCTGAGCACCAAGAAGAAAACTGGGGTACCTTCTTGAGCTGTGGCCTCTGGACTGGCCAGTGGCTGAGCTGGCTGTGGCTTTGGGAGCTTTAGAATTAGGTCTTCTACTTTCAGGTGGGGAATTTGCTTTATGTTTTACCTGCTCTGACTGCAACCTGTAAGGTTGGACATTAAAGAGCAAGGAACAGTGTGGGTTTCAGTAACGAAGCCACATCAAATATACTCAATCAATCTGCCTAAAAACAGATCTTATCAACATCAACTCTGAAGTAGCATTTATAACAGTTAATCACATCTGACTAAGAAATAAAAATTAGCTTTTTGTGTGAGTAACAAGGCCAACACGACAATTCAACGCTGAAATTTAAATTATATGCCCACTGTGCCAAAAGAAGAGCAAACTCATCTACAGCAGCGTGAGGTTCATCAGAAGAGAACCAAGAAAACCAAACTAGCGCAGCTGACTTTGATGGACTGAGATGTTCAGCTTATGCTAAATGTGCCACTACACTCACCTTCCAGCTACTGTGTGGTCTTGTGGCTGGGCCGCAGCAGTGTTCCTCTGTGAACGGCGCAGTGACCCCCCTGGATTGGAATTAGGCCGGTTGGACATTGGCACCTCTCTCCTGAAGGGACATACCCTTTCTAGACACTACCATTCACTGAAAAGACAAAACAGACCATATAACAATACCACATAAGCATAACGATAGCTCCAACATCTATCTTTAACTTTTAAATAAACATCACTCATTTGGTGCCTCTGAAATAATGAAGGCAACAACGATCTTACTTTCCTCAAGCTATTGTTGACAGTAGGAATTGCGTGTGTTGTAAAGCCTTGTGCTAGTAACCACAAAACCCACAGTTAATGCAATCGAAACTTGGACTAAAACCAATGATGTTATTAAGGATGTCTAATCATGATCGACATGATCAAAGGGTTAACTGATAAGCTTCCTCTAAAAACTCAAACTGGTTCCTTTATTACAATGACATCCCACTTTCCACTATTAGGATGTAGACTCCTAATAATGAACAAAACTACATTTAAACAAAAAATATATATACACTTTGTTTTATTTATGCATGGAAATCTGTGACATGGCAACTTCACAGTTATGTATTCACCATGTACTGGCATTCATAATTCACTAATTACATAAATCCATAAATGTCAACACAATTAATACCATAGCCAAGTAGTATCAATCATTGGTGATGTTTGAATTAAAACAATAATTTAAAAAAATCTGAAGCCTAAACAACAACAACAACAAACAGTAAACAAAAATAAAAGAATCATCTTTGTGCCAAACAAATGCCTGTAACATTCATAATATAACAACCCAAGACAGCTGATTGCCTAGGGGTAAATATTGTAACTACCTTTAAATGTTAAAGACAAACTAAGCAATATGTAGGATGGTGTAATTTCCAGGTGTACCAAATGGCACTGATGAAGACTGACTGATGAGGAATGAATTTTCACAACTGCATGATGGCATTACTTGAAAAAAGAAAACAAATACTTAAATAACTACCTTAAACCCAAGCTCATATGAAAAATGACGACTAAATGTCCCCCATAAGAATGAATGTGAACCGTGATATCATTTATATGAATCATAAAAATACGCCACACTTGCCAATCTCCAAGGGCCATGTTAGGCCTGCACTGACAGTACGTCCTACTCTTTGTTATTCGACCATTCTGACAACTGAGTCTCCACTCGCCTATCCCGTTTTTGGTTAAGAACATCATGTAACCGTCAGCATCCCTTGAAGGTTTCCATTTCAGCACAACTGAACAAACACGACAGCGTTCAGTTTTTGTGCCCATGATTTACAGGCCTGTATTTCTGACGTAGTTGTCTACCTAACAGCGAGTAACGTTAGCATGTTTAGCCACTCAAATCCTAGCCTGCCCCATACATTTTGACAGTAGCTCTGTCGCATGCATAATGTTAGTTAATTTTTTTAAACAAAATGTTCCAATCCTTATGAGCGACAATTATAAGCTTAATATGCTGTATACCATGCCGAGAATACACTAAAAATAGAAGTAGCCATACCTGGGGACAGTTAAAGTTACGTTGGCTAATGTAGCAGTGGTTACATTGAACTGCGTAGTTGGCGTACCGGTGTGTCAACGTATTTAGGCACTTTTCCAACTGCCACATTTGACAACGATCTCGTTTTCAAATAGTTTGTGTTACAGAATATCGTATTTTTCCAAGACATTGCAAACACGATCTCTGCTAGGGGGGTATTTCTTACATTTACTTGAGAGTAGCTTCTCACTGAAAATGGCAGCATCGACTGGACCGTCTTTCGGAAACGGTTTGATGTAATAAAGCTATCGGACTACAAGTAAACCAACGTTAGCTAAACTGGTATCCGGGCTCCTATGACACATTACGGTGGCTGACAAGTTTTAGGAAAACAAAAAGAGACAGGTTACGCACACAGACTTGCTCACCTTCTTTAACATTTGATGGGAGATCAGTTTTTTTAATACACGACTGTGAAGTCGCCGGACATCGACATAGAAAGAAAATCACTTTCTTAGCGACACCGACAACGTAATTATCGTGTAAACAAGTACTGCAAAGCAACGTTCTTATAATGTGAGGATCATCGATGTTTTTTAAGCTGACTTAAGGCTAACTGCTCCCTTTCAATGCACCACTGTTCAGGGTTAAAGCTAATGTTAGCCAGGTAAAATCAACTTGTCATACAAACGTGTCAGCAAATCACATGGACCTTGTTTAGAGTTGGGTAAAGACGCCCAAATTAGATCAAGCATCTTAAACGCCTAATGTGGAGCATATTGGCAAAATTGACAAGCATCGAGCCAAGTTAATTATTAGCTAGCTCATTCTAGCTTAGCACAGTATTGTAGCAAAAGCCTCTTCAATGACCGTTCGCTTTCCAGAAAACAGAGAAAAATAAACACTTGGCACTTAATAAATGCGAATGGTCGGTGCCAATTAAAGCTTGTACTGCGACTAACAAACTACAAACCTGATCGTTATCGAATTAGTTACTGCAGAGCAGTCACACGGGTAACGTTTAGCGACGTTAAATCAAACAAGAGCGTTATAGCAGCTAACCTTGGCATGCAGGCTAATCAATATTAGCTAGCCTTGTTGACACTGGCTTGCGCTTTGCCAGCTCGACATCATGGTAATTAGATTTCTATTATGTATAAGTCACAACTCAAACATTCTTTGTTCTGGGGTAAAATTGCTCAAATCTTAACATTATCAATACTTCGAGCTAGCAGTTAGCACGTTGACGCTGAGTAGCGAAAAGAAATGGCCTCTGATACATTTTAGACACACAAAAAACAGGAAAGCAGGAACGGGATTCGAGATATTTTCGCTATACTGAATCACAAAACGACCGAAATAAATCGATACCTAATGACCTCAAAAGTCACAAAGTCTGATAACGGAGATGTCAGTGAGAATATCAACCTTTGATATAATGTTGTTACCTATTTGTTCCTGTGTTGTAGTTGTAACAGACAGTGCACCAGCTCCTCTTTTCTCTCCCCTAACCTGCGAGGTTCACATCAGCTGAGTGGCCTACAACTGCAATATACATCCGCGTGATTCATCCGCTCAGGAACTACTTGCTTCTGATTTTTGGAATCTTTACACTGAGCGTATTCCTCTGCAATTGATATTCATGAAAGTCATTCCAGAAAAAAATAATTTGTGGCCGTATGTGTGCGGAAATAATGCCAGCAATACTGGTAACATTAGTTTGTAACAATTATGAAGTATTAATCCGCTGGGTCGTGACCCCCACCCCCACCCTCTCATTTGAACACAAACATAAACCTGTTAATAAATGTGTTGTCACGCATCACTTTTTCACGTAAGCTTTAATCAAGGTGACAACCTACCTCAAATAGTTCCTTCAGCCATTGAATAAACGGTGTTTTGTTGCTTTTCAGTTGTCATGGTTACAGTTCTGCGTCCAAAATGGCGTCTTTGCTCGAGGAGAAACTCTTTCAAATTAGTAGTCAGGGTCCACCACCGGCAAAAGATTTTTTCCAACTTGTGATTACCAAAGATCAGGTTGAGTATAACTTGTACCCTATCATGGATTCACTGTGGGATCATTATTGACATATTTATGCCTTTGATACGTATCAAGGAGTCCAATAAGTCACTGATTCTTAAGGATCTCCTCGATTACTTTCAAAATCTTCACTATTTATGTATCTTTAACTGTAGGTAATATTGACATCATGGCGGATTTCTTTGAGAGTTGAAAGCAGAGGGATTCCACCCAGACAGTTCAAGATTCCTCATTGTGATTTCCTGCACGAAAAAATGCTTCAGCGTAAGGTTTTTTTGTCAAAGTAAAGCAGTCTGAATATTGTATGCAGTGTAGAACTCTGGTTGGAGTTTATTATCTGCTTCAATGAAAATCTGTCATTTGACTGCCAAGTGTATGTGAGTTTGAAAGACTAGGCCCTGCTTTGCTACATGTTCTCTTCAGATGAAGTTAATGCTGTTTTCGGGCAGAGGATCCTGGATTACACGCTGTCAATTTGCCAGGGAAAGTTCGATTACTTGGAGCGCTTACCTGATGGGATATTACTCAGAATCCTGTCCTTCCTTGAGCTTAAAGATTCCACATTGTTGGCTCAGGTTTCCCACAGATTCAGAACGGTGAGATCCTCCTTGATTGACAGGTTCTCAGCAGCACACCATTGGAGTCATTGTCTATCTATTAAATGCCACATTGAGTTCCTCTTTGTTCACATGAATATGTGATATGTGCATTGTGTTCTAATGTGTCGGTGCTGTGATTGGATGTCCAGCTCTGTAATTCAGAGGGGTTTTGGGAGCAGACTGTGAGGAATCGTTGTGCTGGCTTTAACCGTGACATGGAGGACATAGCCAATGCCATGGGCTGGAGGAGCACCTATTTCACCTTTTTCCATAAAAAGAGCAATACATAAGTTTATTGAAGTAAGGAGAGTAAAAAATAAACATGCAATAAGAAAAAGACCAGAACTGTTTCATTAATATCATAAAACTGTGTGCAAAAGTCACTGAAAGTTTATTATCTGTGAAAGACTGATTGTAGCCTTTGTTTCAGTGTAGTGGCACCATGGTTTTTAAAGTTTCTGTAATCTCAAAGGAGTGATGGTACAAGTTAACATATAGAGTGGATAATGTGGCATGTAGTGTGTGGTTTGGTTAAACCTGAATACAAGGGGTGGGTCATTTTTCTCAAGGAAGACTTTCAACAACAGCAACCATTAAACCCGGAGTCCTCTGACATCATAGCAGACCATTGGACCATTTCTGCTGACATACTTCCTGTTTACGTTTGCCAGTGAGCTGCTGGTGCGCCCTCTCCTGGAGGGCTCCAGTCTACAGCCTGTCTGGGTTTGTGTGTGATCGCTGTGCTGTGGAACTTTAGGAAGCCAGCAGAGGGAGCAACATAGCAAAAAAAAAAAACTAAAAACAAAGCTGCTGTGGGATGATGGAGGAGGAGGAGCAGGATCAAGCAAATAAACACTTTGGTTACGTGTGCAAAAACGGCGCTGTAGTTCTGGTCACCATTTCCAGACATTAATACTAAACACTTTACTGTAGACTAAAACTCGCTTATTTATGAGTACACAGACATCTGCCACAACAGCTATGAAACCTGTAAAAGAAAGTTACTAACACAAGACAAAGGTATGCACTTTTTTTGGGCAGGCACTTTAGTGCATCAAAGCACAGACATAATCAAAAACATACTAAATACATTATTCAGTTATTTCAAATTTAAAATAGAATGGCTTTCATTAAGAATGGTTTAGAGAGAGATCCTGCCTTGTGCTGTGGTGGAACAAGGGGCACATTTAAATGGAAGTGTATGCCCATAAATATTCCTGTAAAAATTAAATGTTCCTCTGTCCAGCCGGGTGTCAGAGCGATCTGACATGACCGCATGCAGGCCTGACTCGTAGGTACCACGACCTATTATTAGCCACTATCACCGCCTTCCTCAGCTGAGTCTGGTCGGAGGAAAAATATTCATTACGTAACAATAAAGGATCTGTCTCCCAGACTCACTTCCTGAATACCAAAGCAGCAACTAGGCCTCATTCTGAGGCAGAGCGGAAGCCTCATCCGTTTGTTTGTTGGAGCGGTGCAGAGCCCTGCTTGTTGTTTTCTGCTTATCCTTTTACTCCACCACACTCGCCACACCACCCCTCCTTCTCAGCACCTCTTTGTGGGTCAGTGATGCAGCGGGAGTGACGCAGCAGTGGCAGTAGCCTCCACAAGGCAACTTTGCACAGCAGGAACAGGGAATCTCCGCCACAACCACAGTCTGAAGGGAGAGGGGACGAGGCTAGATGCCCGATCTAGGCCGAGAGAAGAATGGGAGCCTGGCAGCCGCTTTCCTCTGCTCCCGCTGAGCAAACACCAGGGAGACTTCCACTGCGGCAGAGACGGGCTCGACAAAACCTTCCCACAGAAACGTTTTGGTAGGCCATTCCAGGTACGAGTGCGTGTTACAGCGGTAAGATGAGTGCTCCCAGGGCTGGGAGTGTTTGTGTGCTAAGAATACTTTGGGTATGAGGCCTACTCAGCCTTGTGCTGCAGTCTTTGCCTCTATGCTGATGAGCGTCCCTGCAGGCCGCAGCTGACATCACAGAGCAGCCCCGGCCTGTACACTTTGTCCCATGGCACTGAACACATCCTCACTGTTATGTCAGAGCGACATTGTTGCTTTGATGATACCTGTTCTGAGCTATGCCATTTTGTAATATCCGTAAATGAATGTTTGATGAATACGGGTGACCTCAATTCCTAAAAAAAGTCCCAGCAGTTTAAAAACATTTCCACTGTTGTCACATAGGTGATTTGGGACTTTAAAATGACTCGTTTAACTGAGAGAAGAAACTATTTGACTCGGACAGTCTAAATGAGGAGCAAGCTAAATAGGTCTACACAGAAAAGAGAAAACTTAACACAGACTCTCAACAGAAAAATACTCAAACTTCCCCTTCCATAAAAAAAATGTGTTTTACTTATTGATTTACCTTCTTTTTATCTTGATAAAAGTGCGATTGAGGACAACGCATGCGCAGCTGTATGCACACACCCCAAACAAAACGGCAGGTGTCTGCTATGAATGGACAGAGCCATGACACCAGTAGGAAAATAAATATCTGGAAAGTTAAAGACCATTAAGCCACAAGAGGTTTGGTGTATAATCTCCTGAGCAGATTGTGCCTGTTTAAACAGACCTTGGGGATTGTGACGCTTATGTACAACAGTACTTAATATACTTAAAAACCTGTAGATACACATTCAGTCCTGCTTTAAGTGAGCTTAGTCAGACCGGTGAACCAGCTGACTTCAAAGGAGATCGTAATGAGCGGTAATGGGTATTTCTGAATAAATCTGAGAAGTGTTCACATTATATCCATGTTTCCTTTTTAATATTTTAGATGCCATCGTGAGGACTGAGTTGTCTTTTGCTGACCCTTAGACGACTTGGCTGGCAGGTAAGTTAGATTTTTTTGGGTGTGCAGGGTCATTTTTATCCTGTGAGACGCTCTTATCTAATCACTCTTACAAACAGACTCTGGGAAAAAGTTTTTTTGTCCTGACTGGCACATAAGGCTGCTAGGACTCCCATAATAGTTGGGAAAATTCAAGGCCGCATTATTGTCTGATTCTGAGAGGGTCTTAATATAGAAGAAACCCGTTCATGTTGAATTTGAAAACAATTCTTTCTTGTGTCAAGGCACAGACGGTCTGATTGCAAGGAATCTAATTTTTAAAGACATATTTACTGGTTTAGAGTAAGAAAGAGGTGCTCAATGAGGACCAGCTAAAGGACCATCACTGGATAGGAAGATGGAAATCTTTATCTGTAACTCTAAAAATCTTCCAAAATAGCCCATAACTTGCTTACATGTGAGGCAAAGCAGGACTTGTGACTCAACGGCAGACGTCAGCTGAGCTTGAACAGTTAAATGCTATCCTTGAGGAACTGAAGCAGCTATATATAAAAAACTGGGTCAGAATTTCTTCAAGGGAACCGGAACCCTTCTGTGTGGGGTTTGCATGTTCTTCCTGTCGTGGCTTCTCCCCGGGTACTCCGGCTTCTTCCCACAGTCCAAAAACCTGCATGTTAGGTTGATTGGACATTGTAAATTGTCACAAGGAGTGAATGTGCGTGGTTGTTTGTCCTTGTGTGTCTCTGTGTGGCCCTGAAATGGACTGGCAGACCATACAGGGTGTACCCCGCCTCTCGCCCATTGACCACTGGGTTAGGCTCCAGTCCCCCACGTGACCCCATTTAGGAAAAAGAGGTCCAGAAAATGGACGGATGGACTTTCTTCAAAACAATAAAAGACCCAAATAACATCATACAGAAAATGATTGACGGTCCTGCTGCTAAAGGTGGATCTGAAAGCTGCCGTATTCCAGGGGTGTACACCCCTCTGCATTTTGGCTTAGTTAAATAAGTGACCACATGGCTTTATATGTCCATCTTTGTTGCTCATCTGAGGTTTAATTTATTTCACTTTAAAACCTAGTAGGAACTTCCTTATTTTTCAAAACGCCCTAATGCCACAAACCTGCAATTTGGACTGAATGAGGGTGCACTTTCTCTTTCATATGACTTAATATACAATTTTCTTTAACCTGGTATATAAGCTGAGGATTTTCCTCTAGGTATTTTATATACATTCATGTTACTCATTCACTAAATGGACCATTATAAAGATCTTTACTACGTGCTTTTGTAAGGTTTGTAATGTCAAATGTAGCCTCAAGTATAACAGTAGGGGGGAAACTCGTTTTCTATCAAACAACGGTCTTCCTGTTGGCACTAAGAAAAGAAAAAAAGCCTGCAGTGGTAAGGTTTACTCGTGAAAAACAATCTGCTGTGGTGCAATGACCTCAAAAAGGGAAACAGCCATTTAGATTTTTAAGGAAAACTATTACTGAAGAGCCTTGCCTTCCGTTTCCTTGCTTCAGGGCAACAGCAAGCGCATGCATGCACAGTGCCTGCTTTTGTTTTTTGAGCTCAGCCGTCAAGGATAATTAAATGGCTCCGAGTCGGTTTTCATCTGGCTCTTTGTCGGGGCGAGGAGACCTCCTCAGTCATGACTCTAAACTCGGTTGTGTAAATAAAACAGCTGTTTCCATCCTCAGAGGCTGGTGAGCGGCTACGCAGACATGTCGCGTTTAGCTCCATCCCCTCCCCCCCCGCCTCGTCTGCAGTGCTGACGCATCTGCTGCTTTTTGCATCAATCAGCACCCTCCACACGGATATACCTTGAGTCCCCGCTGAGAGCAGGGGCTCACTTTGTCTGAGCTGGAAACAAACACCGGCGAACATCTGTCCTGTGGTGGATGCGCCGCACAATAGGAGCGCGGCCGGTGCCGTCTCCTCCCTGCCTCTGCATTACCTAACCACAGGGACTGCGTAGGCATGGACGAGAGGCTTTGCTGTAATGTGCTGCAGCACAGGCAGGAGACTCTGTGCACAAGCCTGAGACAGATGGTGTGCTGTTATGCATTTAAGGTGTACGCTCGTTCTGAGCGGGCTCACGAGCATTTTCGTGTTCACACAAATATCTCTTTATCACGCCACGCATCGAGCTTATGTGGCTATGGAGAGATTTAAAGCCCGCATCCGCTGCGCGGCAGAGGACCTCTCGCTCCATGCTCTGACAGCAGTGCAGCCGAGCTTTTTCCCTGGCCGCGGAATCGAGGACAGAGCTGGTGTGTGATGCAGCGCCCTGCGTCTCTCCGCTCTCCTCACCGTCCTCTGCCATGCTCAATAAAAGTTGTCGTTTCCTGCTCAGTGGCTCCAGAGCGAAAGCTCCAGCTGCCCGGCTAGCACAGAGGCAGAGCCAGACTCCGATTTCAGCTACATGCTGCATCAAGTGCGAGTTACTTCCACAGCTGCAGTGCCGTAGAGCCGGGGAGGGAAAGTCAGAGGAGGGCAGGGCAGCTTCAGCCCAGGACCTGGGCTGCATGGACGGAGGCGAAGGACGCTGGAACTGGAGTCATCTGCACGCTGAGAGGGAGGGATGAGGAAGAAAGACGTCAGAAAAAGCTCTGCTTCTGACACCTCTGTTAAGAGACCATCACAGAGAAAAAAAAAATACTTTCGCCTTGCTCGCATAAAACTGTTTTGCATGTGTGTTAGAGTAAACACGGGGCTGTAGAGGAGGTGAACTGCATGACATTGCTTCCTGTTCGCCGTGCATCACTTTCTCTGATTTACTAAGGTATGTTTTGCATGCTTACCCTCAATTTTGAACCTGTTTCTTTTTTTTTTTTGTTGCGGAAGTACGCTTTGTAGAGGTGCGTGAAGTAGCTTTTGCTTTGACAGTGCACTCCTTGTTTGACAATACTATGTGCGAGTTGTACTGACACATCTTGGTTTGTGGCTTAGCATATGGGGATTTTTTTCCGTTTCAGAAAATGAATTAAAGACTGTTTTGACTGAAGCAGTGAATGTAAACTAAGTTGGGGTGTGGCAAATTCATAAGCACTTATGACAAATTCAGAATTTCCGCTCAGGCAAGTGTCGACCAAAAAAAAACAAAAAAAAGAAGCCCACAAAAACGAATAAAAAACTAATACATCAAAGTGAAATAGAAAACTGGACGGTAGGGTAAAACAGCTCTGGAGACAGCGGAAATACAGAAAACAGTATAAATGTGCGGCATATCCCTTCCACCTCTGATGATAATGATGTAACATATGAGAAAGTCCATTTTGTGTTGTAGACAAAGGCTCTCGGACCAACACACACACACACACACACACACACACACACACACACACAGACAGGTTCAGTTGGAGACAAAGGCAAACCTCGATTACTCTGCAGACGGCGGCGTCGCAGGTTCTCACAGAGGGCAGGATGTTTGCATGGGAGAGGGAATCGAATACACCGACTGCTAAGACAGTCAATTGCTATCCAACTGAATCCAATAAGTGCTGCGCCATAGCATGTTGCCATGACAACAGAGGCCCTTCTGTGAGAGAGGGGAGGCAGGAGGGCGGCTGTGTTTTCAGCCATCGGAGGCTCTAAAGAATGGGGGCCATGTTGATTTGGTGCACGGTCACAGAATTGCCATCAAGTACAGGAAATATAGAAATGCATGAAAACACATTTTGAAAATAGTGTTAGCATCTAGCCACTTTGAAGTGTACTATATCCCGGAGAGAATAAAAATGATAAAAACCGCTGAACTGAATTCATCCACCTATCTAGTTTAGAGAAAACTGCATAACTGAATTTGAACAAATGAGCACAACATTTGTTTATTATGAGGCCAAAACTGCATCGAGCAACATTTTCTTTAACGTTTGTATAACTTTTTATGTTACATCAGCATTAGATATAAAACAATGAAATAACGATAGCTAAAGTCAGGCCTTTAAATAGAAGTGATGCAGGTTGATGACTCATGTCTTACTAACGACAATGAGTGTGTTTTAGCAGAGAATGCATGCATGCAACAAAGATCCAAGTGACTGATCACACCCACTCTAATATGAGTTTGAATGTCTCTCTGGTTATCAAGTCATCATTCACATTATTGACCTTTAACTTCCTCTAAGGGTCCCTGATTCCGTTCACTTCATAATGAATATTGAAGTTATTTTTATGATACTGCTTCGTCTATATATAAATGCTTGTCAATCACGGACTGTGTCAAAAGTTCAAATCTTTATGCCTTTCAAAGTAAATATGTGGAGCTGTAATAATGATGTGTCTAATTTTGTTTTCATCAAACCTAAGTGTTCACACTTGTGTTCGAACAGCTTCAGGGTTATGTGACACTGGTCTCTATGTCTGTCCAAGAGAAAGGACAACATGAGTAGATGATCAAATTCTATGAATATGAAAAAATTCAAGTCTATGCTGATCCTGTCAGCAGGGCACAGCTGTTTTTAAGACTGCTTTCTAGGCTAAATAACTCAGAAAACCAATGTTAAAAGTTGAATAACTTTTCAAAATATTTAAACAAAGATAAAATGTTTCTGTCTCAAACACTAATTCTCCCACCACCCCATTAGGGAATAAGCGGTTACGCTAATGGATGGATGGATGGAACACAAATTCTTATCTCAAATAAATCATTCTCACACATTAAACACTTATTAAACACATTAAAGTGTTTTTTTCTAATCCATAACTTCCTTCCATATTTATATTCATGGGAGGAAGTAACGTATTTATGTATTCATTTATCTTTGAATGTAGCTTAAAAAAATCTTTGAGACCAGAGAAACAGAACTGATAAAAACAACAGGAATCAGAGATGGCAGTGGCCCCGTCTGACATCAGCACAGTTAAACTCCATGTTCTTTTCAATGGAGTATGTTTTAGTGATCTTAAAGATTGTCCTAAACTTAGCATGCAACACTTGTCTGGTTGGGTATGATGTCCTCCATCACCAGAGCCCATGAACAAGCTGTTGACAGTGCAACTGGTATGTTACTGCCATCTAGTGTTAAAACAAAGGGATTGCTATTTACAACTATCAAATGTACATAGAAATTACCTTTCCTAATTATCTGACGTGTGTCTCTGTTGTGTCTGTCATATATTTCTTAGATGACTGTGGCGTCCTTGAACCTCAGAGCCTGATGGATAGCACGCACCCTTACACTGTGCTCAACAAGCTCAATGAGCAGCGGTCTCAAGGACTCTTCTGTGATGTTACTATCGTGGTTGAGGATGTAAAGTTTCGGGCCCACAAGAATATCCTGGCAGCCTGCAGCGGGTACTTCAGGAATGCTCTGACGGCTTCGGACACGTGGAGCTCCAGTCAAGTGCTGGAGCTTATGGACTTGAAGTCAGAGGTATTTGCGAGTATCCTTAACTTCATATACTGCTCAAAGGTGTCATCGCCTTTTGCAGAGGACTCGGGAGGGCTTGTAGCAGCTGGAAAAAGACTCGGAATTCCTTTTTTGGAGAAGTTATCAGAGGAAGAGAAGAAGGATGAATGTGTTAAATCCACAGACCCCTGGACTGCCCCTGGGTGTGAAAAGACAAAGAAGGAAGCTGCCAGGCCCGAGGAGATAGAAAATGCCAGAGGCCCTCGTATTACCAATGCCTTCTCTATCACTGAAGTGTGTCCTGGGAACAATCCCTTCACCCCTCTAGTTCAGACAAATAGGGACAGGCAGATCCCATCTGTCCCAGATGTGGGACAGCTCCCACCAAGTTGTCCCACAACAACCTGCCTCAGTGCAACAAATGAGGCTCCCAACGCTCTCTCGGAGCACTCGTATGCAGTAAGCAAATCATCCGAAGGCAAAGAAAACAGTTCATGCGACAACAAGAAGGTCTGCAAGCCAGCTGTGTCGCAGTCGAAGCAGCTCATTTACCGAAATTCGGGCCCACTTAAAAAGCGACACAGGCTGAGAGGCATTTTGGGGAGAGGTACGCTTTCAACGCCAGCAGAACCGCAAAGAGAAGCATGGAACACAAAAACGCCTGCGCTGACTGATGCTGTCGCTGCAGACCCCGGCACCGTCACTGCACCACCTCCACTTATTTCAGAGGCTGAGAGCAGAGCCAATCACGAGTCTCGCATGGAGCTCGGCCCGCCACCCCTTTCCCCTCACCCGGAAGACAGCATTTCCATCTACAGCTGCGAGTACTGTCCAGAGATATTCTCAAACAAAGCTATGCTTACAATGCACTCTGAGGTCCATAAAAAGCGCTTCGTGAGTCACCTGTTTTGCAAGTTTTGTCGCAGAAAGTTTATTCATCTCAAACGACTTCGCAACCACGAGCAGGTCTGTCCAAAGGCTGGCAGAGGCCCGCCCGAACTGGGCACCAGGGAGGCGACGGCCGAAGAGGTGGACCAGGGTTCGGATAAGCGTTCGGACGTGGAGAGCGATGCGACGCAGCTTCCCTCGGACGACCCTCCCAGCCCTTGCACGCCACAACCCGTTCAGCTGGACCGAGCAGAGCCGCAAGTGGATGAGAAGGCAGCGAGGCCTGGTGGGAGTCAGAGAAGGTACAACTGCAGCATGTGTAAACGGGTCTACGTGACTTTATCCAGCCTGAAGCGGCATGAGAATGTACATTCCTGGCAGAGGGCCTATCCCTGTCATTACTGCAATAAAGTGTTCGCCTTGGCGGAATATCGCACGAAGCACGAAATCTGGCACACAGGGGAGCGACGCTATCAGTGCATCTTCTGCCTGGAGACGTTCATGACATATTATATCTTGAAGAACCATCAAAAGTCCTTTCATGGCATTGATCCGAGTCTTGCTGTTAAGAAGAAATCTGCCAACGGGGGGCTGAAGGCGAGTGTTTATCCAATCAAGCTTTACAGGTTGCTTCCCATGAAGTTTCGAAAGAGGCAATACAAGACGTACAGTCAGACGTACTCTGAGAGTGTTGAAAGAAGTGAACCAGACCCACTGGACAGCGCGCCTCTCATCCCTCCTTTTGAAGATAACAGTATGGCCAGCCATCAGGATACTCCTTCCTTCCCTCTGACCTTCATGGCAACCACAAAGATGGTCTCTCCCGTGATGCCTCGCATTTGCTTCGACAAACCACTTGACCAAGATGTGGACCGCAGTCACAGCAGTGGACTGGAAACTCGGGGAAGAACTAGAAAAGAGGCTGAGAACCCATGCTTTGATAATTATGACAGAATCTTATCTGCGCAACCCAATTCAATCTCTATTGCAGATTGCAAGAGCGATCCACCAATGCTAATCAACTCAGAGCACATCAGTCATAACCTGCCGTTCTTTAACTCACTGAGCACTGTCAAAAAGTTAGGAGAGCTGTCAGCCTCTGCAAAAAGAGTTGAGGATATGACTAAGGAGATTCTTCAGTCAAGCACAGAGACCTTGGTGTGTAATAAGGCTATGGGGGCAAAAACAGAGACATATATAGCTAAACCTGCATGCCAGGGTCCTTCTGTAAACAGCGAGGCCATGCCACTATGTCAGATAACCGTGAAAATAGGCAATGAAGCTATAATCCGCCGTCAAATCAAAGGCTCTAAGCTCTTCCCCAGAAAGAAGAGGAGAATCCGAGAAACGAGTGAGGACAAGAGCGCAGGCCAGGGCTCTCCAACAAGACAAGACTCAGCGAGTCCAAGGCTCCGTCTGAGGACAGACGTCACTGCCACATCAAAAACCGAGACGTACGATGACACCAATGAGGCTGACACGGCCGATCAGCTTTGGCGTCCGTACTATTCCTATAAGGCTAAAAAGAAAAGGAAGAAGCTCCGATACAAACACAGAAAAGCTTTGTTTCACCAGTATCCTGAAACATGTCTTGACAGGACACCTGCTCGTGACACCCATCTGGATAGAGCTGGTTTTCTGACAGAGGAGAGCGGCTCTGGGGCTAGTACAGGGCTCAAACAGAGCCTTGGCAGGAACTCCAGTCCCAGGGCCACCTATAACTGCGACATCTGCGACAGCTCTTTTATCACAGAGACCGGTCTGAGGGCTCACGTCATTGGGTCACACCCATATTTCTGCAGGACCTGCGGCAAGCAAGGCCCGCCCGGCGAGGCCCCGGCCAGTGGCGATTACGTCTGCAACAGCTGCATGGAAAATGGCTCCTGCTTCGACAACACACCCCGGAGCCCCAACCCAGAGAAGAAATATCGCTGCTCCTTCTGTCCCCAGCGTTTCCTCTACCTTGCCACGAAGAGAAGCCATGAGAAAAAGCACCAGGAGACAAATGAGGAGGGATATAGCTATGACTCCTTCACGCCAACTTCTAAATACTCTGCTCCCCTAAGCGAGGAAAATAAGCAAGAGACCATAAAAGCAGAGGTCAGTGAAAGTCAAGGGATCACTGACATCAAACATGAAAGGATGGAGGAGGAACCTTTTTCTACTGATAAGAGTACACCAAAAATTGAAGACACAGACGACTTCTTGTCTCTGACCACCCATCAAGATGTGTCTCATTCCAATGTAAAAAGTTCATTATCGCCCTACGGTGACTCAGTGTTTTCCCTGTCCTCCTCAAAGTTTAAACACAAGGTGGCAAAAAAGAGGAGTAGCGTGCAGAATTCTATGCATCTTGTTTCGAAAAAGCAAGCCTTCAACAGAGACAGCGACAGCAGTAAGAATAGTTCGACAGGACCAAGGATAACCAGTCGCAGTGACCAGGAGAAGTCCAGTAAACTCTTTAGAAGAAGTGATTCTGATTCCAACGGTACACATGTCTTTTTACACAAGCCAGAGAAGTGGTTGTGCAAAGAGGAACCCTTTTTTTGAAAGTCTTTGAGGATTGTGATGACGCTTTTGGAAAAAAAAAAAAAGACAGAAAGTGAAGCACCTTCTTTGGTTCGGACACACAAAGGCTGTGGTACTGTTGTAAGGATGATGCTAAATACAAAAGACTAAAATCGACGTAGGCAGTCATTTCTTCCCTCCTGAACCCAACAACTCAGTGATTTTTTTTAACCTTTATAAAAGATATTTTTGGGTAATATAGGACCTTTTGACACAAACTGTACTTATCTTTTGTCTATGCATGTGAGGCAGAGTCAGTGACTCATGATAATGTATCTTCAAACGCTGTGCAATATGAGATCAGCATTTGTAATGTGTTGGACAGCAAACAGCTGCCTAGTGTGGTTCCATGTTCACTTTTTTAAAATAAGTTTGAGCAAAGCAACATGAATTTTACTGTTGTCATAATTCTTAGTCTCCCGTTCACTTAACTGGGCTTGGTGAGTTGCACTTTATAGGTTAGACTATAATGACTTGCTTTTTAGTACTTTGACAATTGTATTTCAATTCTAAGCATTTATTGATATTTTTTCATTTCCAATGAATTCACAGAACCACTGAGATTAAAGTTACTCCTTTTGTGTGTTTAATATATACATATATAAAATATTTAAATAAATATTGTTGATATAACAAACACTTAATTCCTGTCATTCTTTAGCAGTTTATAAAAGAACAAAAAAATCCTCTCTATAATTTCTTCTGTGCTCTTCCCAATGCCCTACTCAAGGCATACACGTCAACTCTCGACACTCACAGTAAGAAATAAGATTGAAGAAACATCAAGTAAAGAAGAACAGTAGTAAAAGCAAGATCTTATCAGACATATTGGTATAAAACTTGTTTAACAACTTACGTCTTTTCACTTCTGTTTGTTCTTCAGGGACATCCAGCCCAGCTGAAAAGCTCATTCCCTCATTCCACATAAACTGCATTTGTGCTTGGGCTCAAAACACTATTTCCAGATGTTTTTAAAATGTGTTGCCTCCCTCTAAGACTAGGTCTGTCTTGGTATTTGATGATGTATGAGTCTCCTCACGGCACATAGTTCCTGTGTTGACTCTGATGATTTCTAAAGCAATGGGTGACCAATAGTTTCTACAAAAAGATCAGCAGCCTTCATTTCACTAAACCTGGGCAGCAAACAGGAGAGAAACTCACTGTATATGTCCAGGGATAACTTTAAGGTCATCAGTATAAGTAAAAGGGGAAAAGCAGTCAGTTTCAAAGAGGGAATATGGAGGGATTGGTTATAAAGATTACATTTGGCATACCTGACTACCTTTCAGGTGTCCAAAGCTGGCATCAGCGAAGAGGATTAGACCAAAGAGTGCCACCACCTTGAAAGACAGGAAGAAACAAAGACCCTAGTCCTCAGCATTCAGAGGAATTCCAGGAAAATGTTGTTTCACTCATTAATAATTCTAGACATATATATACTGTGCGGTATACACATTCAGGGTCAAATGGCCTCGACTTGTTTCAGGAATATTTCATTGTAATAAATTAGGTATGTACTATACCCATGTCTTATTTTTAATCTAAACTCCAGTCATTTGGCATTGATCCTCATGGTTAAGCAATAATGTGAAAAATTTCAAGCATTCCCATTTCTTGCTGCCTTGTCATGGGAATTTTAAGCATTTTGGATTTCTTTTGCAGGAGACAGTAAGATCAAACCTGAAGTGCTTGAACTTGCTTCAGAGATCAGTTATGGGTGAAGAAAAAAACTGACCACGAGCACAAGGATCACCATTTGTCATGCATTATGCTACCTTTGTGCTTCCATCCATATATTTTTAAGTGTTTTGCATAAATCTGTGTTTCTCCATGTTATGTCCCAGTCTCATTTGGTAAATTATATCATTTTTAAAATGGTTTTCAGAAGAATCTCCGTAGAGTACTTGTGCCACCTTTTGGTGGTGGTGGTGTCATGCTCATTTTTGTGTCTTTATTCGTATCACACACGTAGGAGGGAACACAAACTTCTCCGACTCCCTGGCCTCTGTCTGGAAGACTCATTCAGACATTTCTGCACCGCCAGTAATCAAACGATTACCAGTTAGTGACAGCTTTAAGCTCAGAGGCTCGAAAGTCTTCACCTATGTGCTGGTGTCCGAGATTAGCTGCTCTAAGCTAGCACTGTAAGTCAAAGTCTGTGATCTCCGGGGGCGTTATTGCATAATGAGCGACTCCACACACACGCTTTAAATCCCTCTGAAAACTCATTCCACCTACATAGGGGAGTTCTGGTCGGCGTGACTTCCGAAGAAAAAACCCGACGGTTCACAAAATGTTGTCAAAACTCGGTTTTGCACAAGCCCCCGAGGCGACATGCTGGATTTCCTACGATGTAGTCCAAAAGGGACCGGCTGCTAAAGTACTGATTGCACGGTCGCGGGAGCGCGCACGGCCTGTCAGAGCACTTTTCCTCGTCCGGTCCCAACTTGGTTCTGCGGTGTCCGGTCGTCCGTCCGTCCCCTCCGGCCACAAAAAGCCAGATACACGTGACACTGTGGCTACCGTAGCTGAGTTTGCCCTTCGTGAGGCGTCAACGGCCGGAAGACAAGTGCATATTAAGAAATATGCACATTGTGTTTACGCTTTAGGGCCAACTAGTTATTTCAACCGCCCCTGTAATACCCTAAAACACACATTAAGGGTTATTACAACAGTTTGTGCCCGTATCGAGGCTCACACCTCTGCGTTGGATTGCTGTTTCTGTATTATAACGTCTTGAAGTCGTTAAAAGTCAGTAAGATCAGATAGCACGACTACTATGTCACCCTGGACAAATACATGTAATAGGCATTGTGGCATATTACAGGACTCTTTTGCCTACCAAAAGAGTCTTAAAAAATACTTGATTTCAACCAAGAAAAATACACTGTGAGGGCAATAGGCCAATTTATTTCCACCATATACAATAACTAATGATGGGGGGGATTTTTTTTATAGGTAAATGACTGAAATAATGACCCACAAAGCCCATTTCAAAGTATATTAAGTGCATGTAAAATAACTTTATTTAACAACAGAATCAGCATTTATACGAGATGATAGTGGCGAACATCAAACTCCAGTATAACAATCTATAAGAGAAAAAAATCTGTGTATATTAAATGGAGACCTGTTACTTAATAAATCCTCAACGCATCCCACATGTTAACTAAACTGATCCCTCTAAACAGAAACAAAAATGAGGCATGGGATACAGTCAGAAAGGTAAAGCAGCGACATGTCTGATTACAACGCAACCCTCTTTATCTGCACTTGCATTTAATCCCTTCCAGCATTAACGCCACCGTAAAACACACCTTCCCACCCTGCTGCCGTGGCACGCTGTGTGTCTTCTTGTGTCGAGGTGGGGGGGGGGGGGGGACAGAGGTACGCCACAAAATCTGAGCGAAAAATGAGCGAAACAGTTTTCACAGGCTGCGCGCGCTCCCGCGGCCGCACAATCAACCCGTGGCAGACAGTCACTTTACTCAGAAACGGATATGATAAACCAGCTCTGAATGCACCGGAGCAGCAACAACAGTCAGCCCTGACCATGGCGGAAGAGGACGACGCTAGGATTCGCATTGTTCAGAGTCTGCGGGGCAAAATATGTAAGTCTGACCCGCTGGGGGTGCCTATGTGTCCGACACGGGGAGAGAAGTCGGTAGAATAGCTGAGCGGCCAGACGGAAAGCCGGAGGGGCGCGGCGTGCCACCAGCAGCCGCCCGTGCGAAGCAGCACCCGGGCGGTGGATCTGCCGCTTGGCTGCTGGCGTTTAACGTCAACTTAAGCTAGCATGCTAGCAGCAGCTACTAGCTCGCCGTGAAGCTTCCCATTCACCGAACAGCTTTCACAGCCGTTTTGTTGATATCTTCGACCTCCCGCAAGTGTTTAAATCTCACTGAAAAGTTTAGTTGTCTTTTTGTTTTTCTCCCCTCCCTGGCAAGGAGAGCGGCCAGTGAGTTGAGTTAATGTTGGTGTCTGAAGTATAGCTAGCTACTGCCAGCCACTACAGTGCATCGTCTCTTAAGCTAACCCATTCAGCTTTTACGTTACTCAATGCAGGTGTGCCACCAAATTCTTTGACCCGAACACCGGAGGAATGTCAGACCAATGCTCGTTTGCTGGGGTGTATTTGGAATAGTATGTCCATCGTTGTAAAATGATGGGTGTTACACCAAAAAGAAGCAGCAAAATGCTTCACCAGTGTTGAGATATAGTCATAAATGCTGATCGAGACAATTAACTTTTGTTTTTCTATAATAAACACATTTTCTCTTAGTTGATAATAAAATATCTATCTTTTGCTTGTGTCTATACGGGTCTAAATATATTGATAGTATTGGATAAACAATTTTTCATATACATATGTGTGTGTGAGTGTGTGCGCGTTTATAAAGCCTTTTTTTGTACTGTGCTGTAGTAAGTTGATGTTTGAAAATGGGTTCAAGAATTAAACACACAAACTGTTTTAGAGTGCCGTTAAATATTTTCTGTTATATTTTTATGTCAATTTATTTAATCCAGTCACTGACAACTCTGCAGGTTCTAAGTCCCTCCTCTGCATGCAACAGTGAATTAGAATAATAGTAATACCGAGATTAAATCATAGCCTGGACAGAAGTTTTCCAATAGTTTTCCAGGGAAAGCTGTTGTCATTAAACCAACACAATTATCATATTATAGTAGAGGTTCAGTTTATCAACAGGCTTCACGGTAGGTGACCCGAGCAGGTGCTATCTTCGGGCAGGGCTTATCCGTAGTGGTGTGCTGCCTGCAGAAATGGCTAATTTAGAGTTTTGGGGCCGTCTTCAAAAGTTCGTGTCACCCACTGTCATTTTGGGATTCAAGTCTTACAAGCTGAACCAGTTCTGGTACTCCAATAAAAACACTGCGGCAGATTCAATAACGCTCATCAATGAACATTAACATTAAAAATGTCCTTTTTTTTTAAGTCACTAAAGTGGGCCACAACCTAAAATAGATTACAAAGCTGGGCAAGATTCTGTCACAAGTAACTATATAAGTGATTTAGATGTGTGTATTAGTGTAAAGTGAAGCAGGCTGAATAGTATGAGGCCTAAATACATAGGCACAATGGGAAATGTCAGTTTCACTACTATGAATTAATGAGAAAAGGGTAAGCAGAACAAAATTGAGGAACTATCATGGCATGTAACTCACTTTGCAGTCTTGCGAAACTCTATTCTTCCTTGTTCACATTTAGCCCTTTTCTTTGAGTATACATCAACGGAGTTGGCATTCTGCAAAGAAAAGTTTCAAACAGTTTTTTTGTTGTTTTTTCTGTTGTACTTTAATCAGTCCATAGAATGCGTAGGCAGTCCTCTGCCAAAACGACTGTTGTGTAGACTGTTTTTCTGACCCCTAAGGTCACGGATTTTAAGTGATGGTGTGTGTCTGTTTGAGGGATTATTTGAAAGAATAGAGGTGACAACCAAAGTAGATCTAAGTTCTGGTGGCTGTGTGTGTATGTGTACGTGTTCTCTGCGCTGGCCGGGTTATCCTGGTGTAACCTTACTGGCAACTTGCGACCGTTTTTACTGCCTGCGCCAAGATTAGCCATTCTACATTATTAATAGCCTTTTAAACAGCTAATCTCACTGGTGGCTTTTCTTAATGAGGTCCGTAGCTGGGTTTAGGGTACTGATATAGAGCTTGAGGACTCATTTCGACCGTCACGGATACCTTAATCCAGGAGTCTGAACCTCATTTGGCTTGAAGTTCTGGGTACTTCTGACTTTAGGTGACCATTATCTGTTCTAACGGGCTACACCGGCCTGCTGTGAACTGATTTACCGTAAGTTATTGGTGTATGTCTTGCACAAAATGTCTTGGCAAGTAATCTGACTCTGGAAGTGGTGTTTTACTGATGTGTGTTTTTCATTTGTGAATCAGCGCTGTTGTGTCGCCATTGGTTATGCTGAGGAAGTCAGTGTTTCATGTTTTTAACCACATATGAGCATAAGGTCTACTTCAGCTACATCCGCTCTACAGTTTGCTGTGAAAAATGCCCCCAAATGAATATCAGGATGTCAGACATCAAAGAAAATGAGTCCTAATTTTTATGATATAAAGACATTCTTTTATTCTCCTATGTACTTAGCTATTTCTTTATTTATTAAACCATATGTTCAAGTTGGCAGTTATTTTTGGTTTAGCTTCCAACCAGTACCGCCCTTAGAGCGCCCACACAGCTGTACTTCTCCCAATTATTACACCAACGTTTTGTTTATTTAGAGATATGAAACTTATATGTACTAATAGTTTTAATTGCCTCTTCAAAATACTAAATATCTGTATAGTTTGAAAGGGTTAATAACAGTTCTGAAATGTTTTGACAGTCTTTATGGAATAGACAATGATTCTAGATATTGGTGTGAAGTCATTCATGACTTCTTAGATGGAGCTGATGTCCATGTCAGGCTGACAGTTGTGCTTTTCCGCTGGCTCCGTAGGTGAAGCTAAGAACCTGGGTCCAGTCTCGGGCCCAAATCGACAAAGGGATCTCTGCACATTTTGCACCATAAACCTGGATCAAGAAGAAGTGTTCCGCACCAAGATTTTTGACAAAAGTGTCAGGTAAGCTCGATAAAACCCACGTACATTATACAAATGCTAGTTATATAGCGTGCTTAAATTCAAAGTACATTACATGTTATATATGGAGGATATCTGGCGTATGTACAGCCTTTATTCTGGGGTGTTAGACAAAAATATCTGACATGTTAAAACTTTTGTTGATAGTTATTGAAATTTAAAAACGAGGGCCCTCTGCTTTCTACTAACTTCTAAAACTAGTTCTGTTAATGCAAATTTACATCGCATCACTGACTAATAAAGGTAGTGGAAGTACCGCACGGGAAATTAGCGGTGTTATTTTTGGTAATTATGTGATTTAGACACAATGAATGAATACCATTTAAAATATGACTGAGTCATACTTATGGGATTTCATTGTACAAAATTTAAAAGGAATCCACTCCAGTGTCACTCAAAAGGTTCGCCTGTCAAGAGGATCATCAACACAAGTCACTGCACACCTCATTAATCGTACATAATGTTGGTTATACAAGAAATCCAAACATCTCTTTGTTGACATGGAGGCAGAGGTTTCACGTTCTGTGTGTTACTGTGTAGTGACCTCCTCAGAGTAATTCTCTGAATTGGGTTGTGAATCATTTGTTTATGATGCAGCACAGTGGTGTGGTGGTTAGCACCGTCACCTCACAGCTAGAGGGTTCCCGGTCCGGGCGGTATAGCAAATAGATGGTGGAATAATTTTTTATATTGGATTAAAAAATCTGCTGTGTACTTAAAACGTCTGTGAAATCTGAGGACATGCTACAATTATCCAAATGATTCTTCAAATTAAATGTGGATCAAAGCCTTCATGGACTTCATGGATTTTTTTTTTCAACTTTGTTCCCTTTTCATTTGTTTCTGGCCTGTCTACATCTATGTCCAGTAATGTTAATTGTTTAGCTTGTGCTAATGGGAATTTTTTTTTAAATCCTGTTATTTATTAAAGATCGTGCAACAATTAGGTTTCAGAAAGAATTTAAAATTATGTTAGGAGGTAAAAGTTTCTTTTTTACCTTTTTTTTTGCTGCGAGACGCAGCTTAAGCCAAGATAGTGGAGTGAACTATGTTGTTGTGGAGGTTTTTTATTTGATTACTGACTTTCTTACTCTAATTTTTAGGAAAAATAAAGCAATAAAGCAGAAAATGGAAATAGACTGAACAATCTACTCTTGTTATGAGTTATATTGTTCGTGGGAGAGATGTCCTAATTCTGAGATTGCTATTTGATCGTACATTAAAAGCTGGTTGGCTCAAAAATACAAGCAAAGGCCTTATTAAGCTCAGTGGAAGGTGTTAAAAGATTGGGAAACCACACTGGTTTCCACGTGACTCATTTAGCATCTGATTTTAAACATGGGCTTGTCATTTTGGTTTCTTTCACAACTCCCAACATTTTCTTAAACATTACATCAGAGGGATTTTACAGTCTCTGGGGAAGTCTGTCCTCCCACAGTAGTGTCTTTATGTGTGACTCTCACCTACCTTAGTCAGTGCGCAGCATATCTGGATAGTCACTCAAATTGACTCATGCCTGTTACATGTGCTTCTGTCTCCCACTGTAGAAAAGCTCTGTGCTAGTCCTCATTTCAGCTAAGTCGGTGGGGATATTAGGCACATTAGACACGCGTGGAAAAATGCATCTACCTATCGTTCCAGCACTGTTTAGGAATCACAATGATCCAAGGCAAAAGTTGTCCAGTGGCTGTAGGTTTAAGTTAGTACAGAATGGACGGGTTCCAAGTGTGGCTTTCCATGTGATGTTGAGGGGCGTGTGTGGGTGTACACTAGCTACATTGGCCAAGCCCGGTATGCCAATGTCAGGCAAGACATTTCACCACCCAAGATGCATACACTGCAGAGAGGCAGTAGTCCAGGAACCAGAGAACTTTAGAGCCAAGTCCCCAGTTATTACTGGTATGGCTGATAACTGGACAAATTCCCAAGCCCCCAGTTAAATGTCTTTAACGGAAGGAAATGTGTTTGTTTTATTAACCTATAAAACACATGTCTTTACTTAAGATGGCCTTTCCTATATACTAAGTAAATGCAATTTAAGTCCGACTTAAGAAATCATAGTTTCCTTTACTTTTGTCTCCCTTGTTCAGCCTGTTGGGGGTCGTTTGGATGTTGCGTCTACAGGCAGCACATAGATCAAGGTGGTGTTTAGCCTACACCTGTCCATCCTATTGAACTGCTTGGATAATCTGTCAGCCCTCAGTTTTCCTCCCAGTTCCTGCCGAGCATTCACTCTAAAGCACTTGCATCTTATTTGGTCACACAGCGTTGTAGCTCATGGTGTGAGATCAGGTCAAATTTGAATGATCCTCTGCTTCTTTTGTTCAAGAGGTAGAGCTGGATAGCAAAAAGGAGAGAAACTGTTTCAGTTTTCTTTTTCACTTTTCTTTGACCTTGTCAGAAATATCAAGAAAATAAAAGCAGAGTAGAGCAAACTTAGACTTTCGCATTAAAACCAACAGTTAGACAGCAGTAAGCTAAGCACACATCCATAGGCTGAGGGCTTTGTGATTTATTTGCATGAATTCCAGCAAGTTTGATAGGATGAAAATGATCCTGTTACTTTGAGAGATGAAAAGGAAACCATTGAAGTCACTTTCTGCATGTTTTTCTGTAATTCCTTTCACAGTCCCAAAATAAAGGATTTAAAAAAAAAACATCCTAACACATATCATAGTAATATATGATGAATGGTTAGCTTGGATATAAAGAAAATGCTCAGAGAAGAGCGAGTTGATGCAATTGCGACAGATTTAAATTTCGATATATCAAGAACATTCCCCACAACCCCGATGAGTCATGAGGGCACCCTGTGATGTCCACCTTCTGGTCAGAGTCTCATTGTCCAGGACATGAACAAATCCTGTAAGGGATGTGATGTTTTTACCTTGGACTTCACACGCCATGCCAAATTAAACCTTGTATCTCAGTATTTGTTTTACTGTTTTAACATAAACCATTTTATTACATAGATATGTGTGTGTTAGTATTCATGCAATTTCTTAGTCTACAATAAGGTAACAAACAGGTTAAATGAGCTCTCTAACCAACAGTTTAACAGTAGTAGCAGCACTTTTTATGTCCCCGTGCTTAATTTAATATTCATTCAGTTCTCAGTGATCTGCTTTACCAGTATCCTAAACAGAGAGCACACACACACCTGCTGAATGAAAAGAAAAATACTCCACTTCATTTATCTGTCCAAACCTTTCTAAATCCTGCTGTGTTTGTAAAAGTGCTTACAACATGTGTATACCATAAACTTTAACAATATGGTGGTATAAGCTTTAACGGTAAGGCCATCTGTTTGATGTCAAGAAAGTTTTAACATGTAACCATGTAAATGTCTTTTATTTTAACAGCCCGTTCTATGGAGAGGACTTCTACTTTGAGATCCCGCGCCCATTTCAGTTTCTGTCCTTCTATGTTTTTACCAAGGGCGTTTTCCAAAGGGACCAACCTGTTGGTAAGTCTCATAAACAAGGATGCTGTCTGACCTCAGTGGTCCTGTTTAACATCCACCTATGTCTGTACGTGTCTTTTCAGGCAAGGTGTCAATCAGGAAGGATGATCTATGTAAATACAGTGGAAAGGAACATTGGTTTAGTCTTCAGCCTGTGGATCCTAACTCGGAAGTTCAGGTAACTTCAGCATCTGGCATCAAAATGTCAGAATCCCAAATCCTTTTTGCACATTTCCTTGCACAGTTTTTTTCAGATCCTAGTAGCTCCGAGTATCATTTAAATACTAAGATCAGGGCACGACTCTTTCCTCAGCTCAGTGTTTTGTGACAGATGTTTAGATTGTTCCAAAAATAAGGTTGTTGTCAAAATCAGTTTTCTGTATTTAAAAAAATGTGGTGTTCCCTGAACAGGGTGCCAGTGGTATTTAGGATGTTGTTTGGAGTATTTTTTGTGTGATCACATTAACTTTTAAACGTTTTTAATCAATCTGAATTAGCAAAAATTGACTATTTGTGCCACCTGGGAAATTGGACATAAACTAACTGTTTCTACAAAGTGAGTTTAAATTTTGTCAGCAGCAAAAGCGTAAATAATTTATTTTGTCAGTTTTTCAGATGTCTCTCATAAGTTGTTGTGACATTTTTGAAGCCGTTGGTGTGCTGATATGAATCTTTGTCAATAACTGTAACTTGCATGATGAAGATGTGAGATATCTTCTCTGTATCTTGTCCGGAATCACAGCTCTGTTGCGCAAAAAAGCACCACAATATTTTCTGCTTGCCAATTCTGACCGTATGTGCAGAGTGTTCAACAAAATGTGACCCACAACCCAAAAAACTACCTCAGCCACTTTGGTTGGGGTAGCTAAACAGATTTGATCTGTTTGTCCACTTTAGTCAATGTCAGTGCAGTGTGGGTGTTTTATGGCCCTTTTCAGCCGTTTCTTCTTGTTACTGACATGTTGTGGTGTGTTTTTTTTGTTGTTGTTGCTGTTGTGTCCCAAAAGTTTGGAACATAAACTTCAGTTAGACCTGTCATTGAATTAAGCTGTGAGTTGAGCAGTGAAGATTCTTGAAGCGTTATCTTTCGACTGGAGCGAGGTGCTGCTGTAATAGCCTTCTGAGCAGCACCGTCTTATTGTGTTATCATTTGCATTGACTTTTACATTCAATAACTTATCAGGATATTGGGTTTACATGTTTAGCCTTAAAACTATGAGGCTGCCTCACCTTTGCTGCTTTTTCATTGTTTGACAATCTGGTGTGAAAGTCTGATGGTGTTTTTCATAATTGCAGGACAATAGGGTGTTGCAACCATTTGAGTTTAAAGACATTTCATTTTTGTATTTCCAAAGATGTTCAAGAGATAAATCTGAACAGAAGTCACGTGTAGTGTCTGTAACAGTTATCTGTGGGTCGTTGCGCAATGTTGAGGGAAGATATTTGGGATCTCATAGCTTTTGTGCTGTGTTTGTGATCTTCTCCTGTGCTTCTGAACTGTAGCTAACACGCTGACTTTAGTTGCCATTAGCCCACGCCGGTCTATTCCTGGTATGCACTGCTGCTCTGATTCACTCACAAGTAGACACTTTTAAATGCACAGTTACATCAGTGGGCAATGGAGGTGTTCATGCAATGCCTCCCCGGTTTGGTTAGTAGCCAAGCAAGAGGTACCTATACTCCCTTTGACCTTTCAGATTTTCTAAATTATACTAGTGTTTATAAATTGAATACCTCTTCATTACTATACGATGTGTATCTCTGCTGAGAATCCAGGTTCATTTTGGGCCTTGGTAAACTAGTTATCTTGGCTTGAAGGCTCTTCTTGCAACAGTAGTTGCCTTGTCAGCCAAGTGCTGAATTGCAGTGACAAAGTGCAAGTGCGGGGGCGTTTTGTTTAGCTGTCTTTCTCTCCATCTAACACTTCCGAAGGCGAGACCTGCAACCTTCACCACATCCAACCTCGTAAAGATCTCTCTGAGTGATGACAGAGTGTACAGCTGTTGTGGCTCCTGTCATGTTTTTTGCCTCCATTAATCAAAAACATGAACCATGTTGTGTTGCAAAAGAAACAGCCCTTCCATTGCAACAGAGAGGACCAAGAAGCCATTTAAAATGGGACAGAAAAACACATGGAAATTGATCCAAACGATGCACAAAGCACAAGTGAATTATATTTATATGTTGGAAGGTTGATCTTTGTCTTGGTTTGCACCAAACTTTATTCTTGCTTAGGATTTAAGTTTAAAATTTTGAATGTAATAATGACATTAAAAAATCTGAATCTAAAATTTTACGGTTTGTAAGTAATTTAAAACCCCTCACAACGTGTTCTTGTTTCCTCACTAGGGTAAGGTTCACCTGGAGATGCGTCTGAATGAAGTTATCACAGAGAACGGTTCAACAGGGCAACACATACTGGTCCGGTAAGTTCCAAAAATCCCAATTTGTCTGTTCTATAGTCTGATTTGGTTTGATCTGATCTGTTGAAATTTGAATAACTGGTGGTAATTTTTTGTGTGAGAATCAGTGGAGAGGAATAAAACCAGGCAAAACTATGGACACATAATGAGATATTATTGTTTCAGCACATTATAAAAACTTTGTAAACCTTTTCCCAAAAGTGGTGCTGCCCAGCCATCTAAATAACAATTTTCTGAAGCAGAGGGCAGATGGCAACAAAGTAGCGAATCTTGTTTGAAGCATCCCTTTTACAAAGATAGTTCGTGCCGAAGCACTTTGTGCAGCATGCAATCTGCAATCAGCCTTCTAAAAGGTCAGAGGTTTTGGAGCACAAACATTTTATCTAAAAGGACTTGATATTGATAAGAGTGTGTCACATCCCAATGCTAGTTCTCCATAGCTTGTTTCAGTTCTGATTCCTGCCACAATCATACTATAACATTAAAACACAGGTTCAGACAAAAGCTGATTTAGATGGTGACAAGGAGCGGCTCATTCTAGGATTGACTTATTCATGTAAAGCGCACATGTAAATTTGCGGACATCACACGTCAAACTGTTAACGTATGTTGTTTTTCACCCCCCCATTCATACTTGAAGAGCACAGTAATGAAGAGGAAGTGACGAAATCCGAGCAGGAAGTCTGCGCTTCTCACACTAAAACCACTGTGGTTTTCCTCTGCTCTCATTCACTGTCTCTAATATTTTTCTTTAAACTGTCAGCTCACAGCATGAAACAAAGGCTTCATGCTAATGTTTAGCTTCATCAGATAGGGTAAACACATATAAATTGAAGCTGATGTGCTTATCTCATGCATGGTTCCAGACATCCTGTTCCGCTGCAATGTGCTCAGCCACCAGAGATTGTCAGAATACAGCAAGAAAGGCTTTAAGGCAGAAGCATTAAAGGCTACAGGGAACATCGTCATGACACCCTGGAATATTATAGACAAACATCCTGACACTCAACTACCTGTCTTTTCCCTCTGGCCTCACTTAGAGATGGGCTGAATTTATTCTTGTTCTCTGGAGGCTCCCGCTTAGCAGCTACATCCTGTTTAGGGTGCTTTCAGTGTCTGTCTGTTGTCACCTGAAACAGTTGAGAAAAAAAAGCCACGGTCCCTCGGTGACACAAGCCAAACATGAGGGCAAAGCAGTATATTTAAATGAAAGCTGTCCCACACTGGCAGTCTGCTGCCATTTTGTACTCATATCAACTTTATACATCATACGCTTGTGAATGGGTAGTGTCAGCGGTTATTTAAGATAGGTAAATAATCTGTCATGACTGCATTTGATTCAGAGCTTGTTTGATTTTAAAGATTCTCTAATTGAGTCCAGAGCAAACAGGGTTCATCATAAAACATTTTCTAATAATCTGTTTAACCAACAAAAGAGTGTGTACTGTGTATTCTGACATGACTAAGTGAGGAAAAAAAGCTAATCCCTGTCAAGGTTAAGCCAATCAAATCAGAGCTTTAGAATTCTGGCCAGATTGTTCCATTATGGTCAGCTCCCCCGTAGACCTGGAATGTTTCTTTCACATTTGAAAAATCCGCAATATACACAATACAATATATTTAGCTGAGATCTCATGGAAATGTAGTTTCTGCGCAGTAATTGCATTTTTTCAAAACAATCTACCTCTTGTTACTTGCCCTAGAATTATCGAGTGCAAAGAGCTGCCTTTGATCAGTGGCCAGAACTGCGACTCCTATGCCACCGTGACACTCGCTGGACCAACCAGGTACGTCTGCAAATGCCACACACAGGGCGGAGAAGGACGGGAGGCGGTTAACTCTAGTGGAAATTATATGCATGCTTCTCAAGAAGCTATTTTCCTGTTTACAAGAGAGAGAGCAATTGTTTCCCATTTTTGGATGATCAACATCTGCAAAATGCAGAACCGATCCATGTTAGTAAACTGTGTTAAAGCACACATGATAATGTTAATCATGGATTTCCGTGTAGCTGGTTGAATAACTTTTAACATTTAATGTTGAAAAGGTTGGCTCCAAACGAGCACTTGAGATCAATCTCCAAATGTCTGACCTGTTTTTGTTTTTTTTCACATGGATGTCTTCAGGAAAATGTAAACGTTTCTGTATTATTCATCATTAGGTCAGACCAAAAGAAAACAAAGGTTAAGAAGAAAACCAGCAACCCTCAGTTCGACGAAACCTTCTTCTTTGAGGTAATTTCTTCTGTTTGAAAAGTCTGAAAAGTTCCGTTATTGTGTGACTGCAAAGATATGTATATGTACCACATGTATGAGGAAGCCCGTTGGTGAACCCCAATGTGCTCTTCCTCAGATCACACGGTTCAGCAGCTACACTAAAAAGTCTAATTTCCAAGTGGAGGAGGAAGACATTGAAAAGCTTGAGATCAAGTAAGTTTAATCTCATCTACAGAGTGCAGTGTGTGTATTTTCCCTCTGTAATCGCAGTAGGAGAAACATTATATCTGAACTCAAAGAGAAGAAAATGAATTTGGATCTGGTTTGTTCTGACTGCTGATAGAGAGCCTTGGTTAAGGAAATGTGGGGCTTCCGTCACAGTGGACTCATAGCTCACTGGGTAAGACTAGTCAGACTCAAAGGTAAACATGCATGGCTTTAAGGTTTGGATTTGAGGTGGTGTCACTGCACGGGTATTGTGTTGGTTCTTATGTAGCGAACAGGTAAAACCACACAGTAGTGAGTTTTTTGTTTGTTTCTACCAATCCAGTTCGTCCTATTACAACTGAGTGGTTTATGTTCTGTGCAGAACACACTACAACTTTAGGATTGTTTGACGTGCTGTGGATTATTCAGCGCTGAGCTGAACAGAATCCACTCCATGGGTTCATGGTATTTGTCTTCACAGAGTGGACCTGTGGAACAACGAGAATCTGGCTCAGGACGTGTTTTTGGGCGAAACGCGAGTCCCTGCCAAGATCTTGCGAAATGATCACATCCACAAAGCCTGGTAAGTAGCAGGAGGAAGACATTTTTAATTTTTTTCAATCAGCAATTTATTAATTTTAGTAGACAGACCACACATGAAAATGCAACAGGAGTCTTTTTATGGCAGCAGGAATCAGTTAATTTATAACTATTTAATGAGATCTTTGGACATGAATTTTCCCTCCGTGTCCACCATTCTCACTCTCTAGGAAGACAGTGACTGTTAGTATTAAGATCAAAAACAATGAATACAGATCAACAGAAAATGTTGCAGCCTAGGCTACCTGTCAAGTCTAAAGTCAAAGCTGGAAATGTATATTGGTATTTAAAGTTTGGAAACTTTGTAACATCTGGATGGAAAAGCCCCACTCAGTTTTCAAAGTATTTCTACAAGGCAACCTTTGTATTTGAAAACTTAATAATATTCTCTGAGGCGGGAGGTAGATAGACAACACATGATCTTCAATACAGCTGATGGTGTTTGTGTGTAAAGCTGCCTTCATGGTAGTAGCAGGTTTACGGCTCAGAGGGAAGGCAAACAACATAACTAATCTGTGAAAGCCTGAGCAGGCTGCTGAAGCCTGTAAACAGATTTTTTTTTTTTTAATTTTCATTTTTCTGTTTGTAGTGATTTCTGATGCCCAAATGTGTGCTCTTACAGACAGAAAGTCCATTTTTGGATTAAATTCAAACATTCTCCAATTGTCCTCATTTTATATGTATTAGATCAGTTTGTCCTACCAAGCTGTCTCAGCTGCTTCAAGCCCGCTTGAAAAACAGTTTCCCCCACAGTTCTGTGTTCAGCATTTTTGTCCTCGGCCTGTATTTGTCGTGGCTTTGCATCCGAGTCAGCGATAGGAGATTATGCCAGATAGCAATCTGTTAGGGCATGAGAGCTGCGAGGGTTGTGCGTGGGTGGCTGTTTGCATGGCGGCACTGCCTCATGTCCTGTGTTTGTGCTGGAAGAGGTCCATGTTGCATTCAGAAAACACTGATTGGCTTCAGAAATCAGCACAGATGATCTGCTGAAATGTCCCACTGTCTGTGTGCTGCCACCATAGGCCGAGCGGCTTATGGACAGACCTACAACGAGGACCTGAAGCTTTTCAAACACTGCAGCTTAACTCTGCATGCATTCATTTCTATGTTTTGCACCACCTGTTGACTTCATGGGAGATCGACATGCTGTTGAAAATATGGGCAGTTTTCTTATAACCCGTTAAAACGGGGGTCAAGAAAAATAGTCATAAATTGTTGTTTTCTTTATCCTATCCTCTAATGTATATTTAAAGTAAGTTTTCAAGTCATTTATATTTATGCTTTGTATGAGTAGCAAATGTGATTTCCATAGAGGAAAAAAATGAAAAAATTACATAGCAAGAAAGAGTACATTTCCTGAACACCATCAGAGGAAACTAAAATAGATGTTAAGGTTCTTTTGCTGTGTTTTTCTTTTTAAGGTTTTTTTAGCGGTCTTATTCCTGTGTATCTTTCTGAACCGCCTTGGAATTATGTGCCTGTTTGAACCTTCAGGTCTCCAGGATGGGCTTTTTAATTAAGCCCGAAATTAGAGCAAAAATCCACAGGCAGAATTGTGTCCTCCTATGGTCCACGTCTGTGGAAAAACCTTTCTGCATACATCAGGAAATATGAATGTTTTTTGAAGCCAAACTAAAAAACAACCTTTTTTAACTGTCTCTCATTTTTAATGAAATAGTATTTTAATATTTTTCTAGTTGTATGTTTTAAATAACTTTAATTTTATTTAAAATTAAATGACTTTTCTGCAGACCAAATGAAGGGGTTCCGTTAGCGGGCCAGCTGTCAAAAGACCACAGACCTTGTACTCAAAGTGTACAGGTAGCCCTCTGACTGAAATAACTCATGGCGGCCTCCTGTGCTCCAACAGGTATCTCCTCCAGCCCAAAGGGAACAGTAGCAAGTCCAAGTCTGACGATGTGGGATCCTTACGTCTGAAGCTGACCTACATTGAAGACACGGTGCTGCCTTCTGCCTGCTACACGCCACTCCGCAACTTGCTGCTCAAGTCCCCAGATGTGAAGGTAACAACTCAGATTTGAATAAAATAAAAAGCCTGTGGTTTTGTACTTCTGTTTTTTTAGTTCCATTTTATTATTAAACCATAATAAACTGAATTGTACCCGGCACCGTAACACTTAAGTTACACTTCCCCTTTTCACCTCACCCTCCTTTCTCTGGTGGTCGTCTCTTATCGCTCAGCCCATCTCGGCGTCAGCGGCGCACATCTTTGGGGACATCTGCAGAGAGCGGTACGAGGCCATGCTGCCCATGGTGCGACTGCTGCTCTACCACAATCGTTTCGTGCCTTTTGTCTCGGCGGTGGCGTCGCTGGAGCTGGACAACACTCAGTGGGTTCTCTCACTCTTATGTTCTCTGTGGGAAAAGCATAACTTTCTGTTTCAAAATTCTTTAATGAATGAGACCCCAATGAGACATAGCCTGTAAAAGCTGAATCGTTTTCCTTTTAAAGAGACATTTAAACCATCAGGTAAACTTTCTAAAGAAGATCAGTGCTTCAACGTAACAAACTGAAATCATGACCGACTTATCTGGAAATGTGTCCAAGTGTAGTGAATTTGTGTATTTACAGGGAGGCTAACACTATATTCCGCGGCAACTCGCTGGCAACGCGCTGCATTGATGACATGATGAAGATTGTGGGCAAGAGTTACCTTGCTGTTACCCTGAAGCCTGTAATAGATGAGGTATGTGTAAGAGGGGAACACACACACTCATAAAGCTGGAATATAGATATGACTTGCAGAGGTCATGGAGCATCTGCCTTTCTCCAAAAAGATGTGATTGGTAGATTGGTCTCATTTTTATGTGAAAAATGTCACTCATGGTCATCTTCACATTTTGTTCTACCTGTCATTTCTGCAGATTATCAGTTATGTTTCTCTTTTCATAGATTTGTGAGTCCAACAAGTCATGTGAGATAGATCCCATTAAACTAAAAGAAGGCGACAACGTGGAGGTCAACAAGGTATGAGAACTCTTCTGATTTTGATCATTTTCAGATTAAAGGTTGTGATGTGGAGCGCTTTTCCTGTTTTATACGTTTTAAACTGTACATTGAAACTCCGTTCTCACATCTAATGTGTAAAGCCATTTTTTTTCTTTTTCTTTTTCTTTTTTTTTTTGCAGGAAAACCTTCAGGTTTATGTCCAGAAGGTCTTCTCCTCCATCACCCAGTCCAGTTCTAGCTGCCCCCCACTCATGTGTGACGTCTTCAGGTCACTGAGGCATTTGGCCTGCAAGCGCTTCCCAGGTAACAGATTCCCAGCACGTGGCAGGCATCCTGTCTGTCTGTTGTGTTGAATTGAAAAGATAAAATATGCTCTCCATATGAGCAGATCAAACAAATATGGGTCTTGTAGCTGTGTGTGGCATGTTATGTGGTATTTGAACCAAAAGGTGGAGCCAGACCTTTAGTTCTAACAGAAGACCCCACATTGTGTTACTCCTGTGTGTGCTTTCTTTTGGAAGCCTCACTTATTTGTTGAGTCCACCCCCATTTTTAACAGATTGCTCTGTTTCTGGTGTAGGTGACCCACATGTTCAGTACTCAGCTGTTAGCAGCTTTGTGTTCCTGCGGTTTTTTGCCGTGGCCGTTTTGTCTCCACACTCATTCCAGCTCCGTTCACATCACCCCGTAAGTGCTCACATCTGGCACCGCTCACATCTGACCATCTAACAAACGTCACAGAGGTTACAATCACATCTTTTATTTCAGGATCCTGATATTTCCCGCACGCTAACTCTCATTTCAAAAACCATCCAGACTCTGGGCAGCTGGGGTAGTTTGTCAAAAAAACTGGTAAGAATACACATTTTTATACAAAGCTGTTTAGCCAGGGAAGCTAAATTAAATCTGCCTAGTCGTGTGAATCGTCAGTTCATTTAATAATGACTTTTTACCCCCCTCTCCAGTCCAGTTTCAAAGAAACATACATGTATGACTTCTTCAAATCATTCCAGGAAGAAAAGTGCATTGAAAAAGTGAAAAAGGTACTTTTTCCACACTCTGAAATCCTACTGTAGTCTCCAGTGGTTTTTGGATCTTTATGTATGTCTTTGATGCCATTCTCATCTCCCCTTCTAGTTTCTTGATGAAATATCCTCCAACGTCAGCAAAGAATCCAGCGGGTTGGAGGACGCTGTGGTTCTTAAAGAAGGGTGAGTGCTAATCATGACCCACATTTTAAGTTGGGAAAAGTATAGGGAGCTGACCCTACTGGTGGCAGGGGCTAAAGGAGGTTCACTGAAGGTGTTTCTCTTTTCTGTTATAGCCAGTTCAAAGTTCGGGAAGGGGTGACCGAAGGGCTTTAATTCAGAGTTTTATAAGAAAGGCTTGGCTGCATTTTTTTTTACAAGAAAAACGAGTGCTTCTAGTAACAAAGAGCTGAACTCCTCAGGGAGGGGAAGATAAAAGAGTGAAACTTGTGGGTTAGGTTTGTCCTTCTTAGATTCAGTCTTTCATTGTTGCACCCAAAGAGATGAGATAGTTTCCCAGAGCTATAGTAAATTCAGCTGAGTAAACATGCAGCACTGACTGAAGTAAAAAGTAAAGTTTTGCAAAAGGCAAATAAGTTATACTGGAGGTGGTGATTAATAACTTTAATAACTTTTGTTTAATCTTTCTCCTTTTAATCTCAAACCAAATCTGAGTTTCTCTCTCAATCTTCTGTGTCCTCACAGGGAAGTACAGAAACGGGCTCAGCGGGGAAAACATCTTGTGAAGAGAAACTTTCAAAAGAGATGGCTGAGAGTGACCAACAGGGAGCTCTCCTACCACAAACATAAAGGTGAGACCCGCAGCATCCTCTCACATAAAGGTACCTGTGTGATGATACAAGTCAATAAAGCAAGTAATCCTGTTTTCCCTGTATGCTGCTTCCCACGTAGTACGGCTTAATTCAAAATCAGCTTTCATCTCAGACATAATTATCTTCACTGTAAGAACCCACATTAACTATTTTTCATATGCTATTTGCAAAACATCATGATATCTTGCTTTGAAGTTAAATATAGATTTATATAGATTATGAACGATTGGAGAAAGCATCGGAGCTAACAGATTTGGATTCCATTTATAATTCTGTACATTTTTGTTTCTGTGGGTTTTGTTTCCTTAAACTGATCAAAAGAAATAAGACTTGAAGATGCATGTGTTGACGTCTACATTAAAATACTTTTAATACCACTTTTCAATTGTTCAGGTTTAAAAAAAATATTATTCACAACTATTTGATTGACTGTTTTCTGTTTGCTAGGGAAAGAAGCCGTATGCACCATCAGTGTCAAAAACATCATGGCGGTGGAGAAAGTAGATGAAAGTGCCTTTAACCGCAAAAATGTAAGTGGGTTTGTCTCCGATGCTGCAACAGGGGTGCAGCCCTCTGAGGATGAGAAATAATATTAGTCAAGTTACAGAACTATCCATCTTCTCATTTTGTATCCACAGTCACTCTTGAGGCCAATTTAGAACAGTGGGAATATATCACACTGGGGCAGGAAGAACATATAACCTCCTCACATGTTTTTTATTTAGTAGAAAATAAAGATGGACAGACTGCCTTTTATTTTGTCCTTTATTTCTTTTTTTAATACAAAGAGAAACATAAGCCCTGTTCTGTGTCTTAGTTGGTATAAAAAAATAGATGATTAGACTAGTTTTTCGTTTTCAACTTAGCATGACTATAGCTCAAAGTGAGGTCCTAGGTTATCAGTTCTTTGCTTTGTGTATTACAAAAATTCTCCATAAATCAATTTGATTTTGGTCCCAGGTCATCCAAAAATAAGTGCAGTTTCTCTCATGTCAGATGTTTCAGGTGGTGCACTCGGAGAAGCCCCTTTATGTCCAGGCAGGAAACTGTGTGGAGGCCAGTGAGTGGCTGGAGGTCCTGGGCCAGGTCAGTCGCTGCAATGAGGGACGCCTGGCCACTTTCCATCCATCCAATTACACCAGTGGAGCCTGGCAGTGCTGCAAAGGCCAGAGCAGCTGCGCTCCGGGCTGCAAACCCTGCACAACGTGAGTGCTGTTCCCCTACATCAGCATCTCCACCAACACAACCAGATCCTCTGTAAAGTGGAACCGTTCCCAGGAAACACATCATAAAAAGAGTCTACTGCTGTTTTGAAGCTGTGCCACCGTCTTAAATCGGACTACCTACGTAGGGGCTTAGTGGAAAGAAGGGTGGATTAGAGACAAAGAGATGAAAACATGCTTAGAAGGCTGATATAAAAGCTCTGTGGCCGGATCAGTCAGGCAGGCAGTTTATAGCAGAGGTATTGAATGATTGATTGAGTAACTCCTCAACAATTAGCAGCACCCAATAGCTTCAGGGCAATATCTTTCTTTGCTCATTTAACTCACCAAATGGGTTTGTGGTTGTGGAAAAACTTTGACAGAATGGCAGCAAATATTCAATAAGACGTGTTGCATTGAGAATGAATGACTGGAGCTCAGAGTGACGGCTTTTGTCCGGTCCTGTTTCAGCACCATGCTGGCAAACCTGCAGCTGGACATAGACTGCGACCGGGAAACAGAGAGGATCTTTTCCCTCCTCTCCTCGAACGACACCAAGCTCCACAACATGGAAGGTCAGGATTGTGCATTACACACGTGAAGATGTCTTACTGTCACCTTTTTCATTGTTTCGGGTCCTCTCTAAGTGAGCTGACTGCGCTCCATCTCAGCCCATATTTGCCTTAAAATGTCTCCATCGCGTTTCATTTCTGATTCTTAATGGTTCTGATGGACCTTGTGAGCTGGACCGTGGCATGTCTGTCCCCCACACAGATGCCTGTGCCAGCCTGGCGGTGTACCAGGGCCCGCAGTGGGAGCAGGAGGACTACTCCAAGTTCACCATTCAGGAACCCAAAGAGACCTTTCAGACCCTCAAACAGCTCCGAAACATCATGGAGGAGCTGCAGGTGCAGCACAACATCAGGAACGACACCACAGCACAGTACGGCAGCCTGTAAGTCCACGTACTGGTCTGACCCCCGTACGAGCACTCCGGCTGGCTAGTGCCTAACTGACCCTCGGCCACATGTTCTGCTCTTTGTTCCAGTGACAACCCCATCGTCGGGGAAACCTCTTAGCCTGGGCCGGCAGAGCCGGGCGGTCCGGCCCAGCGCTGCAGGGGTGTGACCAGGGGAACGAAACACACCATGACCTCCAGACAGCTTTAGTTCTCTACGAATGAACCCCTTGATTTGTTTCTCAAGCCAATCCCAGACTGCATGTCCCTCATAAAGAGTCTCTGTGTATTAATTTATGTCCTCCTCCTCCTCCTCCTCCATCGACAGCTGTGTGACCGAGGCATCACTAGATGGTGTGTGAATAGGCTGCTATTTTCTTTTATTCACTCAGTCTTATATCAAACAGCTGTGATGACCCCTTCCCTGTCTTTTGAACCTTTCGCTCAGACGTGTGTCCCCAGAGTTGATTATTAATCACCTCTCGCGAGGATCATCCTCTATCTGTGCGCCCCCAAACCTTTTCTCAGCTCCTCTGAAGAAATGAGAGCGTGCAGATAAAGATGTATATGTGTACATTTGAATCGACAATACCAATCTGCCTTACAATGATGGATGTTTCTTTCACATTTAATGCTGAGGAAATGACGCAGATGCACTTTAAATATTTGGAGCTGTCCAAATTAAAACAATTAGATACTTGGTATCAGCTTTCCTCATTTTTGATCAGTTACATGATCTCAATACTTTTTGTTTCTTGTTTCATTCTTGTACAGTAACATTTATAGCTTAGATTTTAAGGTATTTTTCATGACCAAAGGAAATCTCTTGGATGTACGTGAATATGTATTTTGAATACAAATGGTTTAAAATTTAGATGTATAAATATGAATATATATAAAATGTTGGTGTCCTCTTTGTGCATACAATTTTGCCAGCAGATCCTTTACATTTTTATTGATGAAGGTGAGCAGTTTGCATGCTTTCAGTTTTAAATCCTGATTGCGCAACTGTGGTGAAGGGTGGTGTTTCCCTGTGATTGTGCGCTGCATTTGTAAAGTGTCCATCAGGTCGCCCTCCCAGCATGACTTCAGCAGCAAAGCAGGTCCTGTTGGGTGCAGAGAGATAATTCCCTCTGAATCACAAATCATTCCCATCGCCTTTTAATTTGCCCGACAATCATAGCAACAACAGCCGTTATGTGCTCCTTCGCTTTTATCTTTCTCACAACCAGCACTCCAGTTTTATAAAGTGTCCAATTTTGTTGTAAATCTTCCTGATTTTTGCTTGATTTGAGCATTCAGCTTACAATGCTGATTGTCCTGCCATCAGTGGACAGGATGGAGGAAATGGATGATTTAGGTTGATTCCATCTTTTGTTTTCTTTCAGTTTTTTTTTTTTCATTTTTCCTCCATCATGTTTTTCAGCCTGGAACCCGTTCGAACAATGAAGTAAAAGAAACTTGAATGACTTTTTAACATGGCGGACGTTTGATGCTGGTTTAAACAGACTTTGCCCTGTCATTTGTGTGGATGCAGATGAGTTTCAGTTTGTTTTCGATGCATCGTGTATTTCTAACATGCATGTCTTGTTTATTTAACAATCTATTTTTTGAGCAAAAAGTTTCTTTATCTGTATATTTTCCTTTTAAAAAAAACACTGATCTCATGTATATTTTTTTATGCCGGTACCCACTCTTTCATTTCTATTTTTTTATAAGGGCCGATTTGGTTTTCTGTTGTAATGCCTTTTTCTTGTTAAAGCTGACCACATGCTGAAAGACTCATTGTGCGACATTCTGCTGAGTAAAAGGCCAACCTGTAAAATGATTAACTATTGGACGGAAAAAGGCTGAAAGTTTGAATTTCAATTGATCATTGCATGTTTAACTTATATTGCTGGCAGGCTTTCCCACCAGCTCCATTTTCTGTTTTAATGACGCCAGTGGATGGGTGCTTATGTCCATGTAAAAGGGAGTGTTGTAGTTTCCAGTCGTATACCTTGTCATTCCTATTTATGCGTGGTCAATTAGGGAATGCCTTTCCCGTTCTGTTTCACACATCCTGTAATTACAGTTCTCACCAGCATGTCTGTGACTTTCCTGTTGGGGCGCGCAGCTCTCTGCAACCGGTTTCACATGATTTCATTTCAGAAAAAGGGATATGTTCATAATTGCTTTGACCTGTCAGATGAATAAAACCAGTCAAGATGTTGGCCGCCACGCACATCAAATGCCAGTTCCTAAGCATTTTGTATTCATTTAGCAAGCAGGCAGAGAGGTCGAGAAATCAGATTTTGAGTGACAGTAACCCTGTTAAAGCTTTTATAAGAAAAACTCTCTTCAGATGCTTTACAGATGTCCGTGTCAACTGCAAAACAAGCCATTATCCAATCAGCTTGTCCTGTTTGTTAAGCATAATGGAAGTAGAAAAGAAGGCATTTCAAAAAGAACACTTTTTGTTTTTTTTCTTGGCATCAGGAAGCTTCCTGAACACTCGTGTCTGAATGTCTCAGCTTCAGTAAAATGTCTGTTTTTCTAGTCATTATGCTCAATATTGTATTTTGCATTTATGGTCCATGCTCTGTTAAGAATAAACTCTTTGCCAATGCCTCTCTGTCTGTAGAGAGTCTTTATTTTCCCCCCCTGCAGACCAAACGGGGCCTCTGGTGTAATCTGCTTTAACAGGGCTGCCCGTCGTTTCCCCTGCTCTGATTCAGCTGTTAGGTTCCTGTCTCAGGCTCCGCCTCACGTTTGCCAACACTGCCACCTCTCTACATCTGCCACTTCCTGCATTTCAGGGCCGCCGCCGCCCAGCATCCACCTGTGGCCCCGGGGCCAAACATTCCACTCCAAAGGTCAGTCGTATTATTTTTAAAAACATCCACACATAGGTTGTCTTGCTGAAATGAACCAGACCCGGCCTGACGGAGACTGTGTGTGTCCAGTCAGAGGTGTGTCCGGCTGAAGACCTCACCATTTCACCAGGAGGCAAAAACACTCCCTCAGGGATCAGACGAATCGCAGAAGTATTGTTTCAGTGAGCCCCTTTTCCCACATGATTGTTTGTGTCGTCTTTTTAAAGGCTTATGACAACATTTAGTATAATATGCTACATCTATGGTGAGGGAGAGATGAGAGCAAACTGAAAACTATTTACTTGAAAGGTTTTTTTTTTTTAATTCAGCTGGCTTGAAAAGGACAATGACTGGCTTTTACTAATCAAGTTTAGCTCGAACTGAAAAATCAAGACATAATTTGTTATTGGGTTAGTTATCTGATGCCCAAATAAATACTTTTTTTTTTACTGATCCAATGTTGATCCATTACACAGTGTGTACTATAAGGCAGTAAGGGAGGTAAAGCTCCCACTGAGCATTCCTTCTAATTCCTCAGTATTCAGTCAACATCTGCTAGATGGAACCACTACAATACCCAAAATAAAGAGTAATTGCCAAATTTGAAAGCCGATGTCACACATGTGGACCTCATCAGTCACAGAACACCCTGTCCACGCACCTGCAAGCTGAACACACTCCGGCCCAGAAGATTAAGGTCTGACATCAACATCCTCCAAGAGGACATCAGCGTGGACCTTTAAGAGGAAAATGGAGCAAAAAAAAAAAAGATGGGGAAGGGCCCGGCTTTATGTGCAGTAACACAAGCTGTCTCCACTTCTTTCAGGAGGGACTCCAGTTTCAAAGATCTCACAAGAAAGTGTTTGTGTTTGAAGGGTCGCGTTCGCGCTGCAGCAGGAGGCTCCTTCATGTTAGCGCAGCGCAGAAATTGATGTGAAAAGTCAAACAGACATCCCCGGGTGGTTGTGTAAACTGGAATCTGGGATAGCCGCACATTATTCCGAGGCATGCTGCTTGATCCCTGCAGCCTGTGCTCGGTGCTCAACGCCTGGATACAGATCCATGCACCTCTGTTTTCCTCAGGAGTGCCAGAGAATAACGCTGGACTTTGGAATGGTTTGAACCTTCTGACTCAGCGAGGTTACAGAGCTACAGTTTTACTACATTTTAAGAAAATGAAATTAAGCTGGGGTCCATAGTCTTGTGATATATTTCCCAAAAAACAAATAGTTGAGGTTTTTAAGCCTCTATCAGTATATACTTGTTTACAGTTTGCAGAGTACAGATATTTCTTTGAATCTTTTGCCTCGGGTTTTACCAGAAACACATGCAGACATGGGAAATATTGTATTTTCTTGTGTTACTGCATACTGCATTTCTGCCCTGCTGCTGCTCCACGTCTGACATTCCCAACAGTGCTCCGGAAAAGTCAACAAGCATGATTTATCCTTCAGAACCATAAACATGTTTTGACTGTCACACCATATTATGCACATCTGATAAGACTGTTATTTTACATTGACAGCCAAAGTTTTTTTTGTTTTTTTTTTACGTAATGCTACTGCCAACAGAATTTGTGGTTTGATTAGTTTTATCATTGTAAACAGCCTGATGTTAGAATGTGAGCTTTCACCGGTAGCCCTTTAATCCTCTCTTTTCTCTATGCTTTCATGTTTCTGGAAACCATCCCTGACAAGTGTTCCACAGAGCTGATATGATATAAGTCCCATTTGGGCTTTTCCCCACATCTTGAAGCCAGACCAAGTGTTAACATGCTATCGACATTGTTGCAAAAGAACATTAGAAAACTTTTTTTTATCATCTAAAAGCAAGGATATGTAACATAATTGTGTTTTTGTTTTGCATCCAGATTTCAGTCGACAGCCTTTTAAACCCAGTCAACTTGTATACTGAAATCTCCCCAACTGCCCGGTGGTCACACCCCCTGTTTACGGCCTGTCCGTCCCACTGAGGCTGCACCCGTCTGCCCCCTTTTATACTCACTCAACACAAATTAGAAGAATACACATTCTTCCCCGCCAAAATAACTTTCATCCAATACGTATGATGATTTATAAATCGGGCCAATGTGTTTTTGGTTAAAAGTTTATTTTTAAGTGTATCAAAAAATGTTTTTCTTTGCTGGATCTGATTTCTTTCCCCTCGTTTCCGTGCCAACACATTCCACCATTTTGCCAAATGAGCTATCAAATCAAACATCAATGAAAATGTCTGATATTGTTATCGCTGATAACAGGAGTTTATTTTTCAGAAGTACTTTACTAATCATATATTAAAAGTTCAGCTGGAGGTGAGGTGATACGCGTTTTACTGGATGAGATCGAAACCAGTGTGTGGTTTTTACCCCAATCAGGTTATGCTTTCTACGGCTACTTCTTCAAAATCTGTCTTGTAGGAGGTGATGGTTATTCATTTTTTTATTTTGTGGTTTAGAACAAGGTTGTGGGATCTCACGAACCACGTTTTCTTTTACAGCTTGTGGGCAGCTGCTGGGAAACCTGGGACACCAGCATCCATGCGAATATCAATGTGGCACTAATGGATTTGAGCTAGCATCTGCGGTTTAAGCCGGGAAGACAAGTCTAATCCGCAAAGACCCCACCTCACAACTCACTTCATGGATCCAGACATTAACCATCGACCAAAGCACATCCTCAGAGGTTTGGAGGAGGCCATGCCTGTGGAACTGTACCCTACATTACAGCAAACTTATAATACACAGGACGCTCTGTGGATGAAAATCATATGTGCGTGGGGTTTATTGGGATATGACATAGTTATGTTTCCATGACTACAGAGGTCATTACATTTTTTCTTTAAATTCCCATAATCATATCTCTAACGAATTATCTCTTACAGTCAATTCAAGGGCCGCGAGTACCTACAATGCACGCAAACACAAAATTAATGAAATCACACGCAGATTCATCTCGTATACCAAAGAACTGGGCCATGTGCATGCACAGTTTTCATTTGTACTGATTTTCTTGAACCTCATTAACGGCCCAGATATCTAATACCACAGACTAAATGAACAAACAGTTTACACCTAACCCCTCCATCTTCTTTTTATCCAAGCGCAGTTTAATCTCGTTGCTTTAACATCCTGAGCCCCGAGCTTTTACATAGTGTGCCCTTTTTGCTTTTTCAAAATGTTTATGCATGCGGATTAGTAGGCCCTAGTAAGTTTAATAACTAGACTTTGTCATGGTACAGGTAGTTTTTCTTCGTATAGGCTCAGTGGGTTTGTCTTTACATTTAAATGTTTTTATATATTTAATTAAATGTTTTTGCAATTTGGTTCTTATGGTCCAAAGTCCTTATTTGCAAAATTTTAATTACACAATTAGAACATGATTGGTTGATATAAAAACATTTTACTTTAGATTTCAAACCGTAGTGTCTGATAGCGTGTGCTATGAGGCCAAGAGGTCAAAGTCGAAAGGAAAAAAGTATGATGGTAAAGAGAGGCAAAAATGCACCGTCCACATATGAGGACACAGGGTCTCAGGAGGTCAGAGCTTCTGCTGCCCGGCTGGACTCAGTGAGGAGGAGCGGTCGGCGCAGAAAGGGGGGCTGGAATGGACTCGGAGGCCGCTGAGGAAAGAAATCCCTGTGAGCCAAATGTTGTTTCTGCTGGAGGGAACAACACTGACGCTCCCTACATGAGAAGAACAAAAGACAGAAACAAAGAAAGACTTTAGAAAATAAACCTCACGTCTTCTCTGATCTGGTAATATTCAGCACATGTAGAAAGGGATCCCACAGTGACTTCCAATGTCGTATTTTGTCTTGTAAAGCAAAAGCTACAAGTGAATCGGAATCTTTCCAAAAGCCAAACAAAAAACAGATGAACGGCACAATTCACCCGGAGTTTGATTTGAAAAATCTGAACTCCAGGCCGACTCCCAAACGTTTTATAAGCCATCAAGCTGATCAGGAATGAAATAGCCTTGTAGAAAATGCTAAAACCAGTTTTATTGTCCTGATAAAACTAATGGCCTTTTCAGTATTAAAAACACAACTTCAGAGCACAACGTGAATGAGAAAGGCTAAAACCAATTAGCTGTACTGATGTGGGTGGTCAAGTGAGGAGAGGGCTTTGCTAACAGGACATTTTAGGAGTAGAAACCATTCACAGTTGTGACTGTATTGTGTTGACTGATTGTTTAGTCAGATTGTGTCAGTAGTTTTATGTCAGCTGCGTGTTTCTCTATACTGCAATTTTGCGCAATTTTGTTGTCCCTTTACATCTTGATGTTCCCATTTGTGTCTCTCTTCTCATTCAGTTCCTTTTTTGGGGGGGAGGGGGGTTCTTTTTGAAAGGCTGTTTTCATTTTTAAATGTATCTGAGCTTCTTTAATGTGTCCATGTGGTTGTTTGTAATTCAGTTTCTCTTTACCATTGTTGAGTCATTTTAGTGGTTGCCTTTCTGGCTTTTTTTCATTTTTTTAGTTAAGTTTTTCCAGATACCAATCCAACAGCTTCACAGGGATGTTCCTGCATGTTAACACAGAACCACCAGCAATGATACCAGCTCATTCAAAATGGATCCGAATCAACATAAAGACCACCATGAACATTAAATTGGGCTCCATTTTAAAAGATGAACGGATGAAAAAAAAAAAGACTCGCTTTTGGCTTTGGGCGAAGCAGAAACTAGAAACAGGGAGACATTGATGCAATCCTCTGTAAGAGGTTCACCTCAGGTCTTGGTCTCAAGGCCTTTTGTCTGTTTTTACCATTAAACGAACCCAAAACCAGGATACAGCATCAGAATAAACGGGACCATCACAGCAATTCAGCAAATTAAACCTTTCCAGTCTCTTACTGTTACCAGTTTCCTTAACAGGAATTCCCAAACCAGTGGATGAAAATACACTGGATATTACTGACATGAAACACTGGTCAAAGTTTACGTGAGCAAAGTTCCCAGATTTGCTTTTATAAGCTTGAATTGTGTGCGCAGTGAAAAGGTGAAACATCTGGAAAGCCTGAGAAGTGGATGACAGGGAGAAGTTGACATTCCCAGACATTTCCGTGACATACCCACATCCTGATGTCATCAAAGCTGGAGTCCTTACCTGTTTGGTAAGGAACGTTAATGGCTTGATCTGAGGCTGAAAGCAGGGAGAAATTGTTTGGTGTAAAGTGTGTGTGTGTATGGTTTCTCCGTTTGTTTCAGTAAAACACTCGGCTCTGTCTGTGCATTCAGCACGGTTCACCTGAGCAGTCTGAGAGGAATCAATCAGTTACATACAGCCCTATAAATCACGTTTTTATCCCAGCAGAACGGCGGTCTCCCAAGGTCTGGTTTGTGAACACAAAGTGAAGCACAGATTGCACAATGATGTTGCTGTTTTACAACTAAACTGGAAATGTATGTAAGAGCAGCTTTAATTGGGATAAGGCTGTAATACGACAGAGAAAAGAAGGAAACAGCTGGGAAATAAGTGATGTGCTGATGCCATAATTTGACTAAATGACCTATCACTTAGGAAGGTTTTTTTTTTTAAATGTTGATAGATTGAAAAGAAAATAGTAATACTATGCTGGTCAGAGCAGCTTTTTACTTTTTATATTTGGATATAAAGCCCTTTTGGCTGCTGGATATTAGGACTAGTTTTCTATGGTGTAACAAACTCCAAGCTCATACTAATTTGATCTTTTTAGCAGATGTTTAGCACTGAAATCTTAACTGTAGCATCTCTGTTAGTGTAAATAGAAATGAACTATCAATATCAATAACTATCAATAACGGGAGTTTTCAAGAATCGTATGTAGGATCTAAACAGAAGAGCATTCAGTTTTTATGAGATTACAGCTGAAAAAATATCAAAACATCTTTTGTTTTAAACAAGACAGGCAACGCTTGTTTACTTAGTCCATAACATATTTCCTTTTGTCTCTACATATGTACTGTGCTACGGTAGCCTTTTAAGAAATGTAGATAAACCATCATGTATTTTTTTCTAGCCTGTTGTGGCATCCTTTAAGCCACTGTGATTTAATCTTATTCATATAATGATAATTTGTCAAAACAACATTAATAAGCACAGCCTGACGTCACTGTATAAAACTAACATGTTTCTATCCACACACCACCCACAGACTGCAGTGGATTATGCCAAGTTAATGCCAAAGTCAGAGATTGGGTGTAGGGAGCGGCACATCTGTCTGAGCTTTGACGGAGCGAGGTGAAGACGACCTCGAGAGTCCGTCCAAAAAAAGAGGTTTTAATTGATAGACGGTGGACAGGTTTCTGTTTGCTTTGCAGATAAGATTGGCTTCATATACAAATATGAAACCAGACAAATATGGAGAAACTAGACTTCCCAAAGAATGCTACTCATTGTATATCGTTGTGTGTGTGTGTGTGTGTGTGTGTGTGTGCGTGTGTATGTATGTGTGTAAATAAGTTTTTATTAACTTGACTTACATTAACTTACATTACATTAACTTACATTGGAGTGGAGCTGCCCTGGTGTGTGTAAGTTGTCGTCCATCAGCCGAGGAGCTGTAGGGGATGATGCTGCATTCCGGATGTGTTCACTTGCAGGGCTGCTACTGTTCTGTCACAGGAAGAAACACAACACACACCAAAACAATGTTATTGTACGTGAAAAACACTATTAAGAATAGAAGAGAAAATTTTTTCCCTCAGTTAATTATCCAAATGTAATAGAGAAGACGTCATCACACACATGATTTGCTACAAAAAGGGTGTTCGGAAAAATATTTCATGCCATGAACTTCATTAAATGTTCGTTCAGAGGAAAATGTGGGTGTAACTTGGTCAGATTTGACTGACAGTATCCTGACTGCATGATATTTCTATTTCTAAAAGTTCTTCATTTTCTTTTGCCTTTTTCCCGTACTACATTAAAAACAAAAAACAAAACGGAAAACAGAAAACATTTCCACTGTGGAATTTTGTGTCCGAGTGGCCCTCATGAAAACTAAAAAGAATGTTTAAGAAGAGTCTTACAGAGCACAACACCACACAATTTTTCCAATTATTGTATGTCCTTACATATAAACACATATATTTTCTCAGCCTAAAACCTAGAATCACAAAAGTATATCCAAGGATTCCACAGACATTAGAGTTTTTAGTGCTGAAACAAGTCAAGTCGATGATCACAGAAATATAAAATAAATAAAAGTCTGATTGCATTCCTAAAGTAAGACATTCCATAACATCCAGTTCAAAGATAAATTAAAGTGCTCCGACAGTTCAGATGGAATGCTCCATAAATTGTTGCGGATATCTTCCTCTGCTGAAAGGCAGCAGCGCGATAAGCAGGACAGATGGCCACAACGGCAGTGAAGGATGACAGAAACGGTGTGGTCTGCCTTATCGTTTCAAAGTTTACGCTCGAATCAGCTCAATCTCTGGCAGCCCAGTGATCGTAGAGCTGACAATCCTCTGGAGCTCTGAGAGCACAGAGAGTCTAACCCAAGGGCTGCAACGATTTCTTTAGCAATTTATGATTAGATTTAAAGATGTGTTTACTTTATACACTGGTAAAAAGAAGCAGAAAAACCTGTAAGAGCTATTTTACTTTAATCTAACTAAATCTCTCGAGAAAACGGAAACAGGCAAGCTAAACGATTTATCTATCAACACCACTCTTATTCTGCTGTCTTTGTTCCAAAGTTACGGCTAAGGGGGCACACAAAGCCCTTTTTCACACGTTCACACATTTTCCTGAAATCTCTGGGATGTGCTTTGGTCCAAAGACCTCCTGGTTTCCGGGCACATATAAAGAAACTCCAGATTGACACCTTTCAATGTCATTCTTGTCCAAAAACCTTTTTTTCCCCCCTTAAATCACCTCCTCATGATGTTGGCCACCTCTGATAAAACTGTCAACACATCTGTTATGATCGCCTCTTTGAGTAAAATTGTTAATAAATATTAGATATTCAATATTTTGGTGTGTTTTATGAAAACCTGAAAAAGGCCATGAGTTTAAGAGGGTGCTGAAATTGTGATGCATCTGATTTTGACCCTGAGGCTCAGAGAAGATGAGGATGGAGATCCAGGATGTCTGCACTTGTGCTGGGAATGGGACATACTTATCCCTGCAAAGTATCAACTATTCACTGAATTAGATATCTCGGGGGTTCGGTGGGAAAATTGCCTTTCACTCAGTGTGACACGGTGGAAGCTGCGGGACGGGCTGTGCAGGAATGTTTCTGATAATCCTGGCTGATGCGCTGCAGTTTAGCAACCAGACAGCCCTGCTGACCCCGGCTCAATTAAGTATCCGCTTTCACGGCCCTGCCTCCAAACTTTCTTCCCTGTCTTGGCGTGCATTCTCTGACCTTATATACCTTTTTTTTTCTTTTTTTCATAGGACGCGGTGTGGAGGAAGAGTTATACCTGGTCTCAGGTGGCACACTCATAACGGTCACAGCGTCAGCTCGGTAAATCACTGCATTGTTGCAGGATACACCATCTGGATGTGTTTTGAACAAATGTGAGAGCCTCAGGCCAGTTTTATGTGTCTGGTCTACCAAAGAGCAGGTGAGGCTGTAAATTTTCACTTTGTTAGTCTCGGAATATAAACTTCTTGAATAAAAGAAGGAAAAAAAAGGCACATGGAGATCATCTGGATGGATGTTTGTGTGGCACTGAGGGAGCATGACACTCGGTAAATCACCTGCAAACATGACTGCTCTGGACTCTCCCGCTCTATTGTACTCAACAGCAAACCCGTTAACATGCAGTGTACTGAACGTGTGATTTCCAGACTTCCCAGGTAGGTGAACCCATTATAGGGAAATAAATGAATATATTGTTGTGGCTGGAGATGGAAATTTTTAGCCTTTACTGTACTTTTAACTCCAGTGGATGAGAAAAAAAGTCCAAACCCGCTATGAATAAAATCAAAAAGCACCATGGATGAATACACACAATTCAGTACAATTTAAACATTTGACATGTGAAGGGTATCGATCCTGTTTTGAGTTACTCTGCAAGACAAAAATCTTTAAGTTCAGATTGAAAATAGAGAATAAATGTGTTTTGAATATACACTGTAACACTAACATATGTGTATAGGTTTTTATGGTAATGTCAATTTAAAAAACCTTTTATTCTGTGAGCGATGTTTATCTGACAGCTGGATCATGGCATAATATAAACAGAATCATATGTTTTGAGCTGAGCTCAAATTTCCATCAATAGAGACGTGCCCTGATGTGTGTGCAGCAGGGTGCTGTGGATGTCTTACAAAGTCCTTGATGCTATCCAGCACTGCGGTGGTCGAGATCCCTGTGAATAAGGCGATGAAGTTCAGGCCGGCAAGCGTCCAAATTAACACGTAGAGCGTGAAGACGTCCTCGCAGCTTCGCACGCCGACAAACTCGTAGTAGTTTTCGAGATAGTCTCCTCTGCAGATAAGCAAAGCAAGATTTCTGTGCTCGGCATCGCTTCAGCAGATATGAGGCGCTAATCTCCTAATTTGTAACGACACAGCAGCAGCACTGGAAACGTTGTGCTGGAGCTGAACAGTCTCACCTGGCGCAGTCATACAGGTCGCAGCAGAAGCAGGTCCCACTCCGCACAGTAACCGTACAGGAATCCCTCAAATCCTTACAAGACACCTGAGGAGAGAAAGCTCCCTAAGTAATATAAATGCAGACAATTCCCAAAACCCTTTAAACAGATAACTAAAGAAAACAGGCTCTCAGCTTGCTTTAGTTCCGCCCAACCTCGTTCAGACTGTGTTAACTGAACTGGTCTAGATCCAGGGGAAGGCCTTTTAGCTCTCATCGGTACTCACAGTGGCGTAGGAGTTCTCATAGATGTAGCTGCTGCCACTGCTGTAATACTGGCACCTCCCTGCCCTCAGCGGACTCATATCCTGTAATAAAATATACATATATATTCAGATATGAACAAAGGATTACATGATCATCCACATTCAGCATTTAGTAGTGAACTGAAATAATGATCATTATTTAAAATATTTCATGAACAAAATAATAAAAATCTCATCTATTTTTTGCAGCCAGATCTGCACTGATTTCAGTTTATTCCTGTTTTTTTAAATACCACTTAGAGAAAAAGATGTTCCACCTGCAGACTGATGCAGGGGAGGTGGTTCATCTTCATAATTAACAGTTGAAAAAATGATATCAAATGATAATCGACAGAACAGTGGAATTATGATACTAATCATTTTAACAACATACTATAGATGTACTATAAGTAAATATGATTGAAGAAATATAATCTAGGCGGCACGGTGGTGTGGTGGTTAGCACTGTCGCCTCCCAGCAAGAGGGTTCTGGGTTCGAATCCCGGGGGAACCAGGACCTTTCTGGGTGGAGTTTGCATGTTCTCCCTGTGTCTGCGTGGGTTCTCTCCGGGTTCTCCGGCTTCCTCCCACAGTCCAAAAACCTGCATGTTAGGCTGATTGGAGATTGGGGAAATTGCCCTTAGGAGTGAATGTGAGTGTGAGTGGTTGTTTGTCCTTGTATGTCCTGTGTGTGGCCCTGCGATGGACTGGCGGACTGTCCAGGGTGTACCCTGCCTCTCGCCCGTTGACCACTGGGATAGGCTCCAGTTCCCCCCGCGACCCCATGAGGGAATAAGCGGTATTGATAATGGATGGATGGATGGATGGAAATATAATCTATATTTACAATAAAAGCAAAATGGGCAAAAATGTAACATTAGATTACTTCAAAGTAAAAGTCAGAAACATTTTACTGTCACAAAAAGCATATTTTTTTCATTGTTTTAGCTTTAAGTCTATTTAAAGATACCTTACATTAAAAAATGAATTGCAAAAAGCTCCAGGTATTTTGGTTTAAAATACATAAGTTCTAAAGTTAATTCTTGGTCTGCCTCTCAAGTGTTTGCCTGATGTTTTGGTTATCTAACAGGGTACATTTCTAATGCAGGACATATACAGTAACATCTTGACAGAACCTTACCAGAGAGGGCTAAATCAAAGCTGACAAATGTAATTAAGACCAGGCTATAGTTTGAGACGATCTATTCTCATGCACACTGCCACTATTGCCAACAGTGTGATGTTGGCAAACAGTACGTGCAACAGACTGTCCAGCTGGGCCTCACTCAACCCCCGCTGTGGTTCATCTTTTACTGCGTCAGAGTCCGCTGTTACCGCATTGTTCTATCATCAAACACATCCATCTCTAGTGTCACAGCGCTAGCACGCAGGCCCGGATAACCCACCATTTGTAGGGCGACCGTGGTGCTGTCAAACAGCAGGCACAAAAAGGAGGCGATGATCCCAAAGATGAAGAATGTGCGGGAAGCTGACAACTGAAGATGAGAGGAAACAAAAAGGAGAGGCCTTCAAATGAAGCCGTGAATGTGAATAACAACACAGATGACAATAACAGGTATGGTGAAATAAGAAAAACAGGCTCTTAACAATGGTCTGAAAGTAAACCTATGTTTTTAATTAAGATTAAAATACTACTAGTTATTGTTTTATTATCATCTTCAAATCTCAAAAACTTTGCAGATGTGCATTTACTTAATTCTGAAAAAAGAAACTCAACAGTGATGAAAGGACTCCTGTCAACACAAAAAGACATGTACTGTACAAGCAGCGAAGCAATGTTTTTCATAAAGCACCTCCTAAAATTCATTTTTTTGTAGGTTAGTTAAAGCAAACAAAGCATGCAGGGCAGAAAAACGTCTCCCCAATTTCTGCTTTTCATGAATAACAACCTGAAGCAGGTCCTGACACCACATTGTTTATGTTAACTGAAAATGACAAATGGGATTTCCCCCATGATACCTCATTTTCCATTTAACTTTTCTCACATTTAGAACTCTTGAAAAAGAAAAGGGTTACTTCACTTTCTTGCAAGGTAGGATGATGCCACATTCTTAAAACAGTGAGAGGGATCCATTTCAGAAATTGTGTGCTATATTGTATACTATTGAAGAGAAGTAAGTTGAAGAAAACATAAACATTGATTGTATATAAACCAGTGATGCTGACAAAAACAGGAGGAACTCCAGCAGAGACCTGATACCGGATCTGAGAGAAGCAACTGGGCTTTCAGTTGATTCATCTAATCTAAGTTTGGGCCTCTTCATAAATGGTCTCCATGGAGAGGCGGCTGTCAAGGAGCCATTTATAAGGAAGCGAAATGAGGATAAAAACACAACGGTATGCCAAATTACACGTGAAATGGTCTGGAAAAAGGTCCTATTGAGAGAGGAATCCCCTCCAGAGGCTGGACCTTAAGATCATCGAAACAGTGCGGGATCATCCTGACAGAGCTCAACTAAGGGCAGTCAACATTCTAGGAGGATGTTTGGGAAGTCCTTTAGGAAGCCTGGAGGATTATTTATGAAGAATGATTCAAGCAACGACAAGAAAGCTTGTCTTTTCGAACATATTAAATAAATTACTGTAAAGAAAAGCCATGGATAGAGGTAAAACTATGAAATCTCCCTATAAGCAGAAATAACTTTTTTTTAAGATAGTTTAAGTTTACTTGTATATTTAATCGTCTGCTTTAAAAAAAAATTTGAAAGAGTTTGAATTTTTAGGCCAAAAGTAAAGGGAAACCTAGAGTGTGCTTTACCATCTTTTTCTGAAAACCATCCTCATGAATTGGTTGTGTCCACAAATACAGAGCAGCAAATGAACATAAACGGTCACTGACAGGACGACCCAACCTGAACCGACTAATATTTCTTATGGTTGACTTGTAACAGTCAGCTTTAGATGCATTTATTTTCTTCTTATGCAAACCACTGTGTGGATATAGTTAAAAATGTAAGCGTTCATTTGACATGTCAATTATCTATATATTTATCTCTTTATTAATATTTCTTATTTATGAATCTTTGGTATGTGTGAACAAACTGTGCAAAGCTGTCATTAATGTAGAGAAATGGATCATTCCTCGGACCTTAGATTTAAACCTCAGATTCCTAATTTATCTTAAATGTACAGCATTTCTGCAGTGCTCTACGTGCTGAGTGCTCCTTCATTTTCAAGATGATTCCATGAAAATGTCATTAATGGGACAACGACATTGCAAGATGTGTGAGCAGTCCCAGGGTACAGCCCCAGTGAAAGCAGAGTTCCCAGCAGAAACATGTGGGGAAACCAAGCTGAAGGACGTGAATGTTTATCTAAAGATGTGTGTGTTAGGCAGAGAAATGCAGAGTACCAGCTTCTTGCGGTTTTCTTCCAGGAGGAGTCCCAGAAGTCCCAGGAAAGAACCAAGGGTAAGCTGCAAGGACACATCACAGCAAAAAAAAAGAAGCACAAGACTTAAAAAGACATGGTTTGCTCTCTTTTTATTTGGCTTTCATCCCAGCAAAGGAACCTAAATGTAATGATGAATGGAGAGATGATATTAGTCACGCCTGTGTGGTCCAAATGAAAAGTTTTTCTTGTTTTTATGTCACATATGTTAGGAAGATAACATCTGAGTCACCCTACAAATAGGCCACAGACCTTTGCAGCATCTAAGCCTGATTGATAGAGTTTCCCCTCCATGAAGAACTGCTGCAGTCTTTAATCTTTAAAATGATAAGGCGGACAGTTATGCAGGGCTTTTTTAACCGTCAAATATTGATTGATGGCTTTTTTGCCTTTTAGTCTAAACTGTGTCTTCCATAACTATAAAGGGAGATAATGTGTTACGAGATGGATTACTGCTTTAATTTCACAATGAAATTGCATGCTGAGGATGGTTTGAGAGTTTTCAAAGCTTCCTGCTGGGAGATGGTCTGTACACATATCAGTCTTTCATCTCACTGCCTAAATAACGGCAAGAACTCGTAAAGAGCTAAACGCTATACTCACAATGCCTCCGGAGACATGGCCGCTAACATTCAGGCTGTCTGTGCGGGTCACTATGTAGGAGCCCAGCACCACCAGCAGCATGGACAGACAGAGCATGGCCAGCACCAGCCACAGAGCTCCTCTGAGCCGGACCTTTACCCCTGCCAGGGACAGAAGGAAGAGTGCCCATTTAGTCATGTTACCAGGCAAAGAGCAGGATGAATGAAACACAATCTGTTGAATGTCACAAAATGTTTATGACTTAGCACAGACAAAGCTCTGATTAGACGGACAAGATGGCCAAATTTTGACAGGTGCTTCTCATACAAAGTTACTGATTTCCGATCAGATTTGTTTTAAATTAAAGGTCCCAGCATGCTGAACAGAATACCATAACAAAAACAACTTTCCCAAGAAAAAGCTCAAGACTCCACCATCCAGAATATTTGCTGTATTGAGCGTGTCAGAGGCAGTAAATCCTCCACTGTGCCTCACAGCTGGTAGGGCTTCCTTTCCTCACATGTAAACTGGTGCACGTTATACACGTTGAACACATAAAAAAGACCGATATTCTGTAAGAGCATTATAAAAACACGGCCCTTTGTTTCATGAGCTCTTCAGATGTTTGTCTTCATTGGCCGAGGTCCACAAAGCTCCACTTGGCTGGCTGTGCAGCACATGGTACAGGCTGAAACATTGCGTCAGGTTCCTTAATGTGATGGAGATTCTCTTCTAATGTTTTATGTGTTCTTTCTTCCCACAGTCTGTGCCAATAGTTCCTGACTCATTAAACATCTTAGTGGAAAATCTTGGAAGCCGCTAAAGTGTTTTATGACTAAATTTTTAAAAATTACCAAACAAATTGTCAAATTTCAACATCTTGATTACTGCCTTGCAGCTTTTGGAATGATGTTTTTTGATAACACCATTACTGGTCCTCTCTGAAAGACATTGCGTGTTTGCTACTGCTTTCTCAAGAAGAAGCCGGAATCAATCCGCTCCCTTTTATAATCAAGCAAAGTCTTCATGCAGTGATTAATTCTTGTCATGTGATCATTGCAGAGCACACAACCAAATATTCCACATCTGAAGTTGCTGTCTAATTAGACACAAACTGATGTGCACTACAGCTCTACCTGCTCCCCATGAGCTCAGCAGCTGCCAAAGACACAGTTATAAAGATGAGCTAGTACGTTTAATTTAATCTTGTACATGTGATTTCATCTCTAAACAAAAGATGGCAAACATTTTGGCAGGAATCACAATGATAAAATTTAAATATGATTGCCCCACTGAGCCCTGACCTATCCGTACAAACGGAGCAAGATATCAGTGGAAGAATTCAACAAAACATAAACCGACATACTCTGGTTGCACCAAGTGGTCCTGATGAAAATGCTGACTACAACCAACCAACCTTGTGTTTAAATCATAAGACTATTCAGCACATTCGCTTATTTTTAAACTTTTGCCTGAGTATGTGTTAAAAGATGTAGAAGACTACTTTTTTTTTTATAAAGTTTTCTTAAGTCTACTTTATATGGTCGAATACACCAGATATATGTCTGAATCAAAACGTTGACCTCCACCATTTATTGATTTATTTTTAACTCCCATAAACTGATCATCTTGATTAAGTTTCTTTATACTAACTGACCAGTAATCACTGTTGAGCCAAAGTTGATAAAAGAAAGTCTGAAGGACAAAGCAGTCCTCCAAATAATAATAATGATAAATTAATATTTTCTATTGTTAAATACCAATACATGTTGAAGATTGCAGAAGTAATCAAGATTTACAAAATGCAAAACAACATATCTGAAAAAACAAAGTTATCATCCTGACACTCCTGCTTTATTGCTCTAAAATTACCTGATATTTGGCTCTTTGGCTCTGCACTTTGCTTTTTGCTCTCTGGTCCTTGAATCCATGCTGTCATGGCGATTTCACTCCCCAAAAAAAACAAACTTCCAACTCTGCTGGTTCAATACCGGGAGACCTCTAAGTCTTGAATAGTCCGGCCAACTGTGCAAACCCCTACATGAGGGCTCAGTTAAATGCTGCATTCAATGACAGTAGGAACGGTGCAGCCCACTCTGCTTAAGCTCTCTGAATGAGAACTGGTTATAGCTGTCTCTAAAAAAGAATTAACAATAAAAATGTAAAACCCCCAAACTACAAATCATGCAGCATATTGTATCCTGTAAATTATGTTTTGATACAAGAGGAGACCATGAAAGAATTGTGTTGGACAAATATACAACTGTGACTCCAAACTCCTTTTTTCACAGGATGCATTCACTATTTTATTCATATTTCATAATTACCTGCATATTCCTCCTTAAGGGACAGGAACCTTTCTTTTAAGTAAGTATATTACTCAGCCAAGTGTGAATTTAAAATAATCTAGACAATCAATGATTCACAACTTTTTATTCTCCCAGCAAAATGCCTTCAGTAAGGTGGATTGTTACAATAAAATTGATTACAACTTCAGTTTTATCCCAAAAAGTTTAACCACCAGGAGTCATTTCTATCCAGCCCCATCTAGTGAATTCTGGTTAATTCTTGCAATGAGATTCGTGCTGAGATCATATTGTTATAATCTGCTGTGACTAACACAAGCTCTAAAATACAACTAGATTTCAACTCAGATGTGTTTGTTTGGAATTTGTTTTCTTAAGCTGCACATCTGTTTGTTTTGTTTTGACCTGACATCTTAACATTAACATTAACTTATCAGATTATCAGATTTTACATCATGGGTCACTTTATTCTTCTATAAACACATTTAATTGGTCTTTGGTGGGGTTGAATAACCATCAAGAAATGGTGTGTTGATGTATTACAAGTGCTGTCCCATCTGAACTGACCAGAGAACTTATTTTGTTTTTAAGTCACGAGGTCAGTTTGAGGAATGAAGTAAGATTTATCTGTATTGTAAATTCATCTTATCTTGATGACACTCTCAGAATAGATGGGGTTAGGGCAGAACTCCCAAGGTGCTTTCGGACTTTAAGGTGTAATGATGGAGTTATTCAAAATATATTAATTAAAACAGCTCGAATCTCAGCACTTCAAAGTCGCATTACAAGAAAAACCCCAAGCCCATGTAGGACTCTTACTTATTACATGATATGTTCTGATTCAGTGTCTCAGTTTTAAGTAAAGCTTCAGGCCATTAAATGTTTGGAAAGAAAAACTGGCTTTTATCAATTCTTTGGTAGACAATCGACCTATTTTATATTTTATCATCATTTGGTGGAAACATGGAAAAGCCAAAAGCAGAATTAAGACAATTTTAAAGTAAAAGGCATATGTATTCATATTTAAATTTAATATAAGACACTATTATTTTTAGATAAAAACCAACTCAGGGTTTTTGAAAAATGCAATAGTACATTTCAGAAGGGAAAACAATTTAAAAAGTGCCCTCTGTGTATAAAATATCATTCTCAAGGAGCCACATTTAAGCACATTACAATGCAGGTCACAGATATGTAAAACTGACCACTATTTAACTTAAATACATAGACAATTTCATATGTTGATGTTTGTTTTTCCCTTCAAAATATTCATTCTATTTTTGGGATTACCAAATGAGGCTTGTGTATTTTTGTGTCATCTTTCCTGAAGTCTGACCAATATCGCCCCCTTCCGTCAACATTGTGACAGTACGCTTTCTGGCGCTGTTAGCATTAGCCTGCTCCCGCTAGCCTGTTTCGTCCATTTTGTTTAGCTTAGCTCGGCTAACATTAGCTTGGTCACCGTGGAGCAGAGATGGACGACGGTGACGAGCCGGGTTTAGTCCTGTCGCACAACACTTCTTCGGGCTCTAAGTCGGGCGGTGACAAGATGTTTTCCCTGAAGAAGTGGAATGCAGTGGCCATGTGGAGCTGGGACGTAGAATGTGATACATGTGCCATTTGTCGGGTGCAAGTAATGGGTGAGTCTGGGAACTTTTAGACGACTAGCTGACTAGTGGACACCCCGCTAATGGGGCTAACGTGACCAAGGGTGTCATTTAAACATGGAATCCAAGGCTATGTGTAGCTATAACGTGTTTTTTCCTGCCAATTTTACAGACGCATGCCTAAGGTGCCAGGCGGAAAACAAACAAGAGGACTGTGTTGGTAAGAAGCTTCATACACCAAAACATTTAATAGCAACGCAAAGATTTGCCAGATTAATAAAAACAAGCTAGCGGTAGCTGCTTTGTCAGGGCTGTCACAGATAAGTCACTAAGCCAGTAAATGACAGAGGATGCATTTTGTGTCCTGACGTCACGGGCAAAGAGAAGAGCGATGATTTGATTGAACTTATTTGCCTTTCAGTAGTGATATGGTGTGCAGCAGGGCACGGTTCAGTAGCTGTATCAGTGCAGCACGATTCATACACCAAAGGCTCTTCCCCAGTCTGCTAAATAATAGATAATATAGCAAGAAAAACATGATGACATACACTATGCATTAAAACAGTAAATCATTCATCTTAAAGTAAAATGATCAGAAGACAAAAAAATGAATTAAATTAAATGTAACAATGTTTTTGTTTTTTTAAGAGACAACCATGTTATAAAAGTGTCCCTTTATCAGGATTTTACGCAGCTGAAACACTAGTTTTGTAAATGAATAAAGCAGTTTAATCAAAATGCACGCTTGGGTGACATGGTAGCGTCATGGAGAAACAATGAGGTGGAATTTACTATTCTGCTGCAGAAAATGTAATTTTTTTTCAACTAAACCAACTTTGCCATAAAACAAAGGAAACCAAAGCATCCTCAGCTGTATTGAGAAGCACGTTTTAAATACCTCTAATATGAAGAATCCATCATTTTTTTCATTTCATTGTTCTTAGCTCATTTTTCTATTCACAATTGATGTGATTCTTTTTCATTTTGTTCAGTCCCAGTTTCTGCTTTGTGTACTTACCATGTGTTGTCTTTGCCCTGCAGTTGTATGGGGAGAGTGCAACCACTCCTTTCACAACTGCTGCATGTCCCTGTGGGTCAAGCAAAACAACCGATGTCCCCTCTGCCAACAAGACTGGGTGGTTCAGAGAATCGGCAAATAGGCACCACGTCCTGGTGGACTGTGCATGCCTGAGATACGAGTGGGGACAGACCTGACAGCGATCCCAGCTCCGTCCTTCGCAGTCCTCCAGCTAATGATTGCATGCCTCCAATGGCCCAGGTATCAAAGGAGAACCATGGACAAAGTTTAAGCTGCACGGATGGGTCGCTTAACGGAACCAGAGTCACGACAGGGCTGGTGAATAATGTTACGGTGTTCGGTCACTTGTTTGCTTTACATTAGTGTCTGTTGTGGAGTTTTGGCGCATCTTTAATATGTGACTTTCTTTTTAAGAATAAAAAGATGTTGAATAGTTGTAACTGAAGTGTGCTTTGTATGTAATTCCTATAAACAAGTGAAACTGTGGGTTGTGGTACCTGCTTTTTCTATACTGAATGTGTTAAGCTTCAACAATGAGAGGGTCATGATGTCCAGAGAACCCTCAGTTTAAAAAAGCAGTGGTCCTAGGCAACAAGTGCAGACCTGGAACTGATCTTTTTACACTCATGGTATGATTTTTAGTCTGATTTCCATCCTTTATATCAGATGTGGTCTGAAACCTGTTGCCTATTTTCACAAACTCATGAAGGTTATCAGTTTGTGGGTTTGTATGTGTGAGGAACGTGCAGTGTTTTACAGCTAAACGTTTCTGTGAAAACATCAAATCTTCCGGACACATAAACATGTTACACCTTATCAGGGAATTAAAGTAGTGGTGGAGAATTACCGGATTAATTTACTCAGGCATGACTCTAATGACTCAAAGCCTTGATGCAGTCTTGGGAGCCGTGTCAGCATTTTAAAACAAAGTCTACACAAATTAAGTTGATTTATCAAGTTTGTGTTGTAACTAAAATCATATTAACAAAAATCTGTAATGATCTCATATAATTACCATTCAAACTAAATGGTGGTTATCATAAAGAAGCCAAACATTCCATTTTAGAACAAATTATTGTTGATAATAATGATTAGCTAAAGACCACATAGAGAAATCTTACCTTTGTATAAGGTCAGGTAAAGTGATTTTTTTAGACTTCTTGTCAAAGCATATTCATAATTCCTTTTCTCATATAAAGCCATTAAGTGTGCATACCCAATTATACAGTCGTTACCCTCGTAAATTCACAATAAAGCTATATTTTCATGATCCAGAGGTAGCCCAATCACTGCACTTTGCGTCTCCTAAGAATAGAACAGTCTAAATCCTCTTAAGTTCAAACCACATAAGTTCCTTTCCCAATGTACCCTCTTTACAGAAACGTGCCAAGGCACTTAGCCACCAGCAAATCCCCGAGGCTCAGTCAGGCATGCAGCAGTAGAAGTAGACGTTTCAGGATGGAGGTTCTTGGGGTCCTGGCCTGGTCCTGGACCATGCAAATGGTTGAGTGTTCTTAGCTGAAGAGATTCTAACCGAGGATACGCGGGAGCCACATGGGCGACCTAGCAGGACTGGACAACCTGGTGGCCAACACGGCCTACCTGAATGCTCAGCGGAGTGAGCTGAGGATAGACACGCTGAGGCTGCCCAGGCTAAAGAGGTCCTCTGCTCAGCTGGCAGCAGGGGAAATGACGTACGAGTTTCTTTGTGAACAGCAGCCTATTGGGAGGAGGTTATTCCAGAAATTTCTCCTGACCTCTAACCTGCAGAGCGTGGCTGCTGCAGAGTTCCTGCAGGAGCTGAGCCAGTGGAGCGTTGCAGTGGATGGAAGCAAAGACGAGGCCAAACGGAGGATAGTCGCCAAGTTCTGTCAACCTCAGTCTTGCACTTTCCTGTCCTACCTCCCCGGAGAAGAGGCTGACGTGTGCAGGGCATTATCGGAGAAAAACTTTGATGAGGTGAAGGTGGGCCAGATAAGAGAAGCCACAAGGAACTTTCTGAAGGGGAAGCCTTTCCAGCAGTACCTGAAGAGCCCCTTCTTCTATAGGTTTCTGCAGTGGAAGCAGTGTGAGAGGCAGAAGATCACTGACAGATACTTTTATGAGTTCAGAACTTTGGGAAAAGGTGGCTTTGGTGAGGTAGGTGTCATGAATCTCAGCATTTCCAGAAAAGACCCCATTCTTGACAGACTGAACTAATATTTGCTAAATACACATTTTCTTTTCCCTGTGCATCCCTGATTTTATTGAGTCACATTACAGTAGTTCTTGTGTAGTAAAAGCTCCACCTTTTAGCACCTAGCAAGTGTGTGGCCTCTAAAGCTGACTCTTATATTAGTAAAACCTTGAGGATGTCACAGCTCTAACAGATATCAGTAGAAAAAAACCTCTTAAATCCTCTGATGATGCTGTTCTGTCCGTCAGGTGTGTGCAGTGCAGGTGAAATGCACAGGCCAAATGTACGCCTGCAAGAAGCTGGAGAAGAGCCGTCTGAAGAAGAAATGTGGCGAGAGGCTTGCCCTCATGGAGAAGCAGATCCTGGAAAAAGTCAACAGCCTCTTCATCGTGAACCTGGCCTACGCCTACGAAAACGAAACCCACCTGTGCCTGGTCATGGACCTGATGCCTGGCGGAGACCTCAGGTTTCATATCTACGAGTTAGGGCCGAGGGGTCTCCGTATGGAGCGGGTCGTTTACTATGCAGCCCAGATCATCACCGGAATCCTCCACCTGCACTCCATGGACATCATTTACCGGGATCTGAAGCCCGAGAACGTTCTGTTGGATGGGAAAGGCCAGTGTCGTCTGTCGGACCTCGGACTGGCCGTGGAGCTCCCAAAGGGGAAAATGATCTGTCAGAAGGTGAGTGAGGTTACCCGTCTCTTCAAATCAGTGATTGCCCCCCCTGGTAAATCCTTTATTTACCAGGGTAAATGCTTATATTGCTCTCCATGGTCCTGATCCAACGAGCGTCTGTGTTTTTTAACTTGTTGAGATCCCTGCTGACAAAGACACAATTTTCCCTCTTTAAAGCCACACAGTTTACACGCCGCTGCAAGTAGCTTACCGGAAATAGCCGCGCAGTCATTAGAAGCAGTCAGAACACTGAGCGTGACCCCATGGAAAGCATACTGATCTCATTAAAAGGTGCTTGACCTTTGGCTGAGTCGGCCACCACACTGAGAAAATGTATTCTAGACTTATCTGTGAAGATTCTCAGTCACCCAGGCCATGGTCAAGCTTGAAAAGTTCTGTGTAGGCAACTAGACGTGAAGTTTTCTAGAAGACGTTTCGCCTCTCATCCAAGAGGCTTCATCAGTTTTAACTGATGGTGGGGAGCACTGAGATTGATAAAACTGTAGGTACAACAATAGAATCAGGGGAAAAAACAAGCCTTGACTCTGATCCCTCCTACTGGATGGGCCATAGAGGTCACCTGGGGGGAGTATTAATTGTCGTTAGGGGTTCTGATGGGTTCCCAAACTTTTCAAGCTTGCATAGTAGCCCAGTCTGAGCTTGTCCGAAGCAGCTGGCTGATCTATCGCAGTTATGGTTTGTATGCAACCAGTGGGGTTTGTCTGAATCTTAAATACAGTCACCAACAACTGGGACATTAAATAACCAAAATGTTACACAGTGAAGCATCTGCAGTTGAGTTTATGAAACAGTGAAAACTGTGAAATTTAGCATTTAGTATTGTAAAAAGGCCTATCGCTGAATACTGGCTTTGAGAGTGATTAAAGCTGACATAACAGTAGGACTGTTATGACTATTTGAATAATTTTTATGGCTAGTTTTTCCTAATGAGTCTGAATACCGTCTTCTCTCCTGCTGGCCGTAGGCCGGAACGACTGGCTACATGGCTCCTGAGGTCCTGAGGCAGGAGTACTACCGCACCTCGGTGGACTGGTGGGCTCTGGGCTGCAGCATTTACGAGATGGTGGCTGCGCGTTTGCCTTTCAAAGACTTCAAAGAAAAGGTGCAGAATTCCGAAGTCACCCGTCGTACTCTGGAGGACGAGGTCAAGTTTGAAGATAAACGCTTTGATGCTCCCACCAAAGATATTATCGCCCAGTTTCTCAAGAAGAAGATGGTGTATCGCCTCGGCTGCCAGTAAGAAATAACTGTCTGTATTGTTGAAAGAGGTTATCTTAGTCACTGCAGGTGTCCCAGACCAAATAAGTTATTGGTTGGGAGAACGTTTTAATTCCTAAACCATGCAGTTAGTGTTTGTCTGAAACGACAGACTGAGTAGAGGTGAGGACCCTTTAAGACACTGTCAGATAAACCTGATGTCACTCTATGATCCCATGGTTCACTGAGCCGGATTTATTTCAGTCACCAAAACCATTCTGGAGGAAATATTCTGTTCTGCCACATAGGAACTTTGTCTCTCTACCTTTCTCAGAAATACTGTCACGTTTCACTTCCTCCGGCCTTTAGAAAATGATCCGAATCTTACAATCTGGAGAAGTACAGAGTGAAACAGTTCAACTTTAAAATAAGTGTAAACCAGAAGCTATCCTGGAATTTAATATGACTTCTCATGACTGAAGTAGATGTGTCTTTTAAGTTTTTTCTTTCAAATTAATTTACACAAATAAATTGAGTTTGAGCTAAAGCATTTTCTAACTGAGCTGTGATTGGTTAAGTAAAAAAAATATATCTATCAAGCCAGCCCATTAATCAGCTCTCTCCCTAGAACAAACAGGAGGGTTTAAATCAGGCAAAACTTAAAATCTGTCATTTGTTCCTGACGCTAGAACGAAAAACTCGATTGTGTTTTACTCTGAAACATACAAAATCTTAAGAGGTGCCTTTTTTCAAGGTTTAGACACATGGAACTGCATGTCTTTTAGACCAAACTATAATCCAATTCACCGTAATTAGATGATAATCCAATAAAGCCACATTCATTTGGAAATTAGAGCAATTCATGCAGAACCAATTAAAAAGAAAAGAAATCCAGCACAGAAAACCAACAGAGTCCTTTGAAACTCAACTTAAATTCAGGTCCCCGTTCTTTATTCTCATGAGGCAGCAATGGTGGGGAATCTAGTTATTAATGGAAAGAACAATCCTCCACAGTTAGGGAGGATGACAGGAAAGAGGGGTCCCAGAGGCCAAAGATACCTGATGAGAGGGAAAGTTACGATTGCACATGTACACAGAGAGGAAAGACAGCGGAGTGAGGAAAGGTGCATCATGGGAGGTCCACCAGAAGCCCAGAGGTCAGAGACTAATTGCCTGTCTGACAACTCGTTTGAGGAGACTTTGTGGTTGTGGTTGTAATGCCTCCATTACTGATGGAAAAAGAACCCAAAAAGTTGCTTGCTCCCAGAAAGCTATTACTTTTTGTCTTCCATAAACTTTTCTTTCTTTGCCTCTGTCACAAGTTCTTGGGATTGTTTTAGAGTGTTTCGCCTGTGTCATACTTTCGATTACTTAAGTTTTCTTAATGGAACAGAACGGGTTTAGAAATTACCTCCTTAGCCCATTTTTCCATCTGAATAAATAGTCCAAAAAATTAGGAAATGAAATCCACAGGCTAGCTTTGGTAGGTTTTAGGGCTGTTGTGAGCTCATAAGATGAAAACGTGGATGAAGTGCACAGAAAATGGCTTACTGGAATTCTAACCTGCATGTGTCTTTGTGTTTTTACCAGTAGTGGTGTGGACCCACGAAACCATGCCTTTTTCAAGAATATCCATTTCCACCGTTTAGAGGCAGGGCTGGTGGAGCCCCCCTGGGTGCCAAGGCCCAATGTGGTCTACGCCAAAGACATAGATCATTATCAGGACAACTCAGAGCTCAAGGATGTTAAACTCGATGCCAAGGATGAGAAATTCTTCAAAGAGTTCAGTACAGGTGCAGTTTCTATCCAATGGCAGACGGAAATAATTAACAGCGGAGTGTTTGAAGAGGTGAACAACGCCGAAGGCAACGGAAATCTCAGCGAGAATGGTTGGAAATCCAGAATGTGCATCATTTTGTAAGCACTACATCACATTGTAAGAACATCAGCAAAACACAACCAAATATCAGCATCTGGAGCAAGAGGTCTGAATACTTGAGTTTATTGGTTTTAAGCAAACAAAGTGCCTGGTTAAAACTCTAAATCTAGCTGCTCTCGTCTTAACCTCAATGTCTTTCTCTCCTACACATCCTGCAAGTTTGCATAGAAACAAGCCCAAATAAAAAAAAACAACAGGTAACAAAGTTGCTGCCACAGCCAAACACAGCCGAATATCAGTCCCTGCAGGGAAGTAAAACCGCAGGAAATAAGCAACCCCCTACTGCTCCACTACACTTTGCCCTGTCTTCCTGGTTACTCAGTGGGTCCCAGTTCATTCATAGTTTCCATTACATCACTCAGCACTTTTGGCAGGCAATTGTTTTTTTTTTTAATTGTTTGTACTTGTAAACAAGTTGCATAATGGTTTAGGATCACTGTGCGATTTTCCAAATAATCCCACAATTCTTAAAGTGGCAAAAGAGTCACCTTAAGGGCCTTTTACTCATCAGAAGTGACAGTTGAGTGCAGCTTCATCAATGTGGAGCCTTTCAGTAGCCGACATTCACCACTAAGTGCCGCCAAACTCCCTCGAAGTGCATTCAGCCTCCTTCACTCTCCTCATGATGTTCATTATCTTTACAGTGTTGCTCAGCTTTTTACAAGCACTCAGTCCTTCTAACGTTGAGCATAGAGAGACATTGTCTATCACGTAGCTTGTTTTTCCCACGTAAAAAGGAAAATTGAGACTAAAGAGCTAGTGCCAATTTCTTTTATAACACTCCTGCAACTCTTCATGTCATAAACAACAGGTGAGACATTAGGCCCTGAGAGAATGTACCACTAATTAAGCTTTTACAACTGTTTACTTCATGGATCAATAGCTTTCCTATGAATTTTTTTAAGCTGATGTCACTGTTTGTTTTGATCCCACATGGTATTCATGCTTTGCTCTGAGCCCATCCACCTTGTATTCCCTAATCCCAAATTTAAAGTGTGGGCCTCCGTCTACCTCTGATTCTAATGACCAAATACAAAACATATTTGTCTACTGCAAGTAGCAAAAAATTGTATCACCTTAAAGAATATGACACAGTCATATAGACTTCTCAAGACCTTACAACTGACACAGTTATTCATAATTGTATCAGGAACTGCCATCTGGGTATCCTGTATTTCAGTTATTTAGCCATCCATTTACTTTTTACCACATCACATGTTAAGTAATTTATGCTTATATTTTGGGTCATGATTTATGCTTGTTTTGTTATTATGTACTTGAGCTAATCTTTCTCTGTATTCATTGGGTTAAATTGATTTGGTCGGTATTCAGTGGATTAAAGAAAGACAGAGAAAATAGTCTCTATTCAATAAACTCTTGAGGCCAAAGGCTTTTTTAACTTAAAAGGTACTGAGTGAGTAAATGACATGGGAGGTATTCTATGCAACATAAAGCTCAGGCCGATTTCAAACCAAGGATGTTATGCAGTATGCTTCATTAGATACCTGTAGACTTCTAAAATGCTCAGGATAACTTTAAATTAATCACTTTCCTTTGCAGTCCCAATGTCAGCCAAATATATTTTTTGTAAATAAATAGTAATACTTTCATAAAGATCTTTACTTGTAAGAGTTTTCATTGTGTGTTTTCAACAAGTTATGCATTACAAGTAAACAAAAAGGAAGAACTTTAAAAATAGATAAAGAATTTAGATCATATTTAAAAAACCTGACTCAAGCATCACATTTGAAAGTTGTCGGGGGGAAAAAGGAAGTATTTAACACAAAGAAAACCCTGTTTTATCAGCTTCATTCACATCTCTGTACACTAACTAATTATAACCCCCAAAAAATTTAAGACCATTTGGTAATGAGGGACACATTAACATGAGTTGTGCTAACTCCTGTGAGGGGCTGACCTTACAGGCCTGAGAAGTGGTCCCGTTCACGCTTGACAGTCATGAGATTAGAGGGTGGTTCAGATGGAAATCCAAGATGCAACCTGATCATCATCGGCTGTGAAGGCAGAGTGGGGAGTCCACTGCGGACTATGTGACGACAAGACAAACTGAGCAGAAGGTCTCCAGGAACATGCTTTTACCAGGCGCGTACAAGCCGCTGCCAGGGTTCAGTTCCCTGCAGCCAGACGCCGTAATGCAGCAGCACGCACAAGCCTGCAACACACATTCGCCGCATGCATTGTAACACATTTGCACTCGTGCATGCAAACACACATTTGCGCGCGTTCGAGCGGGGGGAAACATGTACACAAGCCCACAGAACACTTTCACACACACAATCTTATTACCTCTGAAGAAGCAGGCATGGGGTTTTAGAGATCAAAGCAGGACAGGGTGTAATTTGGTATCTACGTTTGTTACATGCCCATGCTCTGGATTCACATCAAAGGCATGTGCCACACTCCAGTTCTGCCTTGGCATCCTCAGAATGGTATCACACCACTGACACTGACTCTTTGCCCTTCTTTGGCTGTAAATGTGTGTCTGCATATGTGAGTTTGTGCATATTTGTCTGTGTGTTTCTCATGGCATCAGTGTGAAAAGTAGATGGGTCTCACCTCACCTGTGTGGGTATGACGGTAAGAGTGTGCGTAAGCATTTAGGATAGGTGAGAAAACGCTCAACAGTGGATATAGAGAGGCTATTGTGTGTTGAGGGAAAATTACATCCAGCCATCTGGGGGAAAAAATACTTAAATGGGCTGGATGGGGTTTTGCCTGCTTTCTAATATTAAAGGCTACCATTGGGTCTTGATCCACAAGGTTTTAAGTATGTTCCTGTCTCACAAGCAATTTACATTTAATTTTCAAGGCATTTCATGTCCAAAAGAACCAGACACTTCAGCAGAATTTGGAGGCTCGTCATGCTGAGCTATCAGGGTGACACCAGCTCAGCTTGGGAAGTTTTTGGCTCGCTTTAAACGTCATTGCTTGAATTCTTAACATTTCCGCAAATAAGTGATTCCTGCGTGGTGGTCCAACTGAAACAAAGAAACAGAGCGTGCGTGCGTGTGCATGATGTTCCTGCTCACTGGGGCCCATTGGGTTGTTTCCATGGTGCTCAGACCACAAACCTCTTCCAATACCAAGGGCTGGACAGCATCACAGGCAGAAGCTGATCAGACACACAACTGCAGTCACAAACTCTTTATCTTAGCTTCATCTCTGCACTATTACCGGTCTCATTCCTGCAAACTCCAAAAAATTCCAGAACCCTTAGAAATCGAGTCGAATTGTAGTCAACCGATTGAAGAAAAGGGTCAGTTATGTTTCAAAATGGCATGAATAGCTCCTGAATTAATTGCAAAAAGGAAGTCAAACCTGGCAGCTGCTACATGACCAAAAAACCCCTGAGGTCCCAGAAGTCCAAAGCTTACTGCATATTATTTGGTAAATCAATTGCAGGATCTTTGGGGAGTTTGAACCGTTAAAAGTTGATTTAAAAAAGAGGGCCCTTCGTGACCCTTTGGCTTTTTTCCAATAACGCCGTGCAGAAAATATTCAGCTGTTTATAAAGTAATCTAAGTTCCTTCGCCCAATTACCCATCACTTTTCACGGGAACCACTCTAAACTTTTTAAACAGTCACCCGACGTCTTCACTTTCACAGCTCAGTCATTTCCGCAATCAGTACTCTGCCACATCTCCCTGGTCACCTGTCGCCAGGAATAAAAGTGTTCCCCCGTCCAGAAGAAAATCCCATGGAAAGAGCTTTGAGTTCAAAAAGTTATAGCATCCTGAAACCTGAGTTGGTCAAGGCATAAAAAGCTTTCTGATGTTCCTTAGCCCACCACTACTGGATGATTGAAGATCAGCACATCAAACGAGGGGGCATTTTACAGAATACTGATACAGTGTGCACAGAGTGCTGGAGGGAAAGGCTCAGCGGTGAAGGAAAAACAGTTGTGCTGCATGTGTTAATGTACTTTAATTACAGCGCACCATGCTGCCAGACAGGTTTTGGCATCTGTTTGTCTGAGCTGCTCTTCCTGCTTGTGTGTGTGTGTGTGAATGAGGGAAGGTACGAAAGCTATCTGTTCCCCAGCGCTGGATAACGACGACACGAAAACAGAAATATAAGCCTTGAAGTGGTATTAGTTTCTAAGAGTCTACCCAGTTTGATTTAATTAGCTGGTACTTATTGCATTCTTTGTTTGCAGTGTGATATGACTGACAGTTGGCGGCGGACAAAGTCTGGACTCAGTCCAAGTCCATTTATGCTTAGTGTGTGTATGTGTCCAGAATCTGGAATCCACCTCTCATAGTCTGTCAGTATCACTAGGTGAGTGTGTGATAGTGTGTGTGTGTCATGCTATGCCTTGACATCTGGGGTGTGCTGATGCGGCTGCTGGATGCATTCTTGCATCTTTCCATTCTACCCATGCAAAGCCATCATTTCAGTTGAAATACAAACTTTGTTATCTTAAAGTACAACCACAAAAAGTAGAAACCCACTCAAACAAACCATTACCAACCTGTGTGGAATTTCCTCCAAGGTGCTCCTCATCACGGCGCTTAAGTGGAGAAAAAGTTCTGCTCAGATTTGCGTCAAACAGTTTATGTAACTAAATGGATGCACCTTGTCTCATTTTTCATTCATTATGGAGATGTCAGCACGACTCAGAGGTCTGGGGAGTGTTAAGTTTGTTGACAAGTTTGGCATCCTGGTTGTGTCCACATGACATCATTTACATGGCCTCTGAAGGAAAAAAAGAGGAGGGTAGGTAGAGCAGCTCAACTTGGAAGCATGTGCAAAGGACTGCTCGCTGCATCAGTTAAAACAGGTGCTGAGCCAGAACACATTTAAAGATTCACGTCAGTCTTCTTCGCGCTGCTCCTCACATTTTGTTCTGCTACAAACATCCAAACATTGTCCAGTGATCTCAAGAAGTTAAAAGCACACGTTGGCAACGAGTACCCCTTTTTGCCTAATAACATTTCATGGCTTCGGCCTTGACTTAGTTTTGCATGAAAGTGCCTCGTTTCACTTTTGCCCGCTGGCAAAAAAAACCTTTAACATACCTCAGAGTTACTTTGTACCGAATACCACTAATGTGAGGAATCCAGATGTTTTTTAGGCTGTTGAACTGAAAAAGTGAGCCTTAAATTAAATGAAACTGTAAACAAGCAAAAATTAGAAGAGGATACAGGAAAACATTTCTGCATGTGGTAAACAATAAGATGTCGCTCTGCTCTAATAAAATCCTACATGAATAATGCCGCATCACCTGGTAAAATGACTACTGATGTACCTTGAAAAAGCATTTATTTATCTGTGTATGTAACCCAAAAAGCTCAAAGCTTTGTGTGTGTAAGAGAAAAAATATATATACATGTAATTTTATCTTGTAGATTTTCTGTTTTTAGATGCAGCTTTCTAAAACTAACTCCCTCTTGCTATATTTAGGTAGTTCTGCTTTCTCACTTTAGGCCATCTATTGGCATTTAAAATCCCGCTTAGGTCAAGTTACCAGTCAACCAACAGTGGCAATAATCTGTGTTGAGAATGCTTTCAGTGGGAGCATGCCTGAAATCTAAAATCTCCTCAGTGTAACCTTACCACTCTTATTTTTATCTTTAGTGAATGACGTTTTATATTTGTATGTACGATGGATTAAAGGGCTGGGCTTCATCATGTGAT